TTTGCCTCAACAGCAAGGTTTCAAGGAACAAGGCTTGAAACTGCACTGAAAGCTCCCATCCCTGTGTAACGGAAGCTTCAAGAGAGTGGCTTTAAGGTCACCTGAAGCACAGAGAACGCACTCCCTATAGAGGGAAGCGATGTGGAAAGCAGGAAACTAAGAAAAGGGAAAGCAGAAGGGATGAGGTATAACTATTTTCACACCTGACTCAGTTTCCTGCCGGGGTCCTGCTTCCGTGCTGGTGTGCCTGTTATCATTTGAAGCTATCGTTCTAACAGGAACTTCAAGCAGATTTAAGAAATGAGTCCATTCTTCACGTGGCTGGTTTCACCTTCTTTAGTGGATTGAGCAACTCTTTCTAAGATACGCAAAGAAACAAATCCACACAGACCTGCTCCTCTGGGATGCCTGGGTGAGTTAACTGTTCTATCTTCTGACAAGAAAGAGCTGTCGACAGGGTGAGCTCACCTGCTGATGGGCGAGGGTGGCCCACCTACGTTGCCTCTTTTCAAGGGAGATGACTAAGTGTAAGTGGCTCAGAGCTCGTTACAGGCAAATCATTACGAAACACCCGAGTGAGAAGCTGGGAATAAGCTAGGCCTATTCATTAATGTGGCCTAGAAATCTTCAATTCTATTTCAGGATCATTTTTTTGTCTGTGGAATCCAGGAACCATTTCAACCTCTCAATGCTTCAATTTTCTTCTGAAAGGAAAGGAAGGCAAAAGGTAACCACCTCATAGTGGAGTCTGGAGAGTTACCTGTGCATTCTTGAAAAACTGCAATGCAGTCTCCACGAGGCAGTCATTTCTCTTCTACAATGAGTTCTGGGGACCAGGATGTGAGAGCTAAATTGATTCCCTCTTCTCTTAACACTACCGGGAAAAGCATGCTGAGTGCCAGAATAAACATAGAACGCACGCTTTTCAAAATACGTCTGTAGAAGGCAAGGGATTTGCCAAGTTTTCTTACTTAAAAAATAAGACACTTCTGGAGACACCAACACACGCCGAACGGTCCCAAAGCTGACCTTGGGGCTGGGCTGGTGGAGAAGGTAGCCCCACTCCTACACATGGTCCTTAGCACCAACCAACACAGCCTGGCTGTTAGGGTCTTGGTCCCTTGATTTTGGGGGGAGGGGAGGAGGGGGCTGTTCCTGATCAGGTTTCCCCGCTACCTGATTTAAGTGATGAAGATACAAGGAATATTAACTGGAAGTTCACAGACTTTCACAGTAAAACGAGACGCATTTAGATTCGCCTATGGAATTGGGGTTAGCTTCATATGGTTATGACTATTTAAAGCAGATTTATAGTCCTTTGATTATTTTAAAACTTAATGAATGATTAGAATTTGTTAGAGACGACAGTCGTTTTTGGTTCTCTTTCTCCCAAAGCCTGAGTGACTACGTGTCTATTTTTTATCCCTGAAAAAAACAAATGGGTGGTTCTGTAAATGCACGTGGGAACTATGGTGTTTACAGATGCGCCTCCTATGACCCCCAGTCCCTGCCTCCCTCCCACGGTCAGAGGGAATTCTAGGGTGGAGCAAGGAGGTGCACTAAGACTCCTTAGTAATAACAACAATTAACAGTTATATTAGCACTTGTAGTGGAATTGCTCAAAACCCGGTTTTATCAAGTTTGCTACAAATTTAAAAAGGTGTTGATGTATCTAGCACCTCAGATCTTGCAGGTGCTGTGACAGGAACACCGTGAATCAGATCCTCTTGTTTTGGATGGATCATCAACATTTATGTAATCAGAATACATTGAATGATATGGACCAAAGTTCAATGTTTCTACCATGACAGTGTTCACTGCAGCACTATTTACAATAGCCAGAACATGGAAGCAACCTAAATGTCCATCGCCAGATGAATGGATAAAGAAGATGTGGTACACACAGGGAGATCAGCTCGGTGCTTTGTGACCACCTAGAGGGGTGGCATAGGGAGGGAGGGAAGGAGGGAGATGCAAGAGGCAGGGAACAAAAAAAAAAGATGTGGTACATACATATAATGGAATATCACTCAGCCATAAAAAGGAACGAAATTGGGTCATTTGGAGAGACGTGGCTGGACCTAGAGACTGTCATACAGAGTGAAGTAAGTCAGAAAGAGAAAAACAAATACCGTATATTAACACATATATGTGGAATCTAAAAAAATGGTATAGATGATCTTAGCAGAAATAGAGACACAGATGGGTCCTCTTTGAAAAAGCAAGGAAAAATAAAACAAAAACAAACACAAACTCATACCAACTCACCAAGAAAACAGCACAACCTCTGAGCTCTCAGAAAGAGCAATGATGATAAAGATCTCAGGTGTCAAAGCAACCCCTGGCAGTAACCCAGGGATCGGAGAAGCAGCTGGAGGGTGGTCATGCCAATGGAGAGCGGTGATTTCTTCTCAAAGGACTCAAGACCGCATCTGAATTCTGCACACAAGTAACTGATTCGTTTTTGATCTGTAAAATTTTATTAAGCAATAGCTGACAACTCTTGCAACTTCAAATCATCAGGAAAAAAATAAGGAGATTAATCCATCTCAGTAATAAAGACAGAAAATACTTTGGACAAACCACGCCATTTTGAATGCAAACCATTAATGCCTTCTAGAATACCTCCTGCACAATCTAATACACAAAATACATAAGAAGAGAGGAAATAAGGGTGAGCTCATTAGAATGCAAATCAGAAATCTCAACAGATCTTGCTTGGAAAGTAAAACAAAGCAGGATGCTGAGTTAGAAAACGAACAAACCAACGTGAGAGGGATCAGGCACACGCAGCAGCGCGCCACTCCCGAGGCAGGGACAAGAACATGCTGGTGGTCTGGTTTGGTCTGGGACCTGTGCACCTGCATCGCACACTTACAGTTGGGGGGGGGGGAAAGGAAAAAGAAAATGCCAGTAGTAATAAACTCAGAAATTATATCCAAATTTACAGTACCAAAATAATGCATTTATAAACAAATGCAAAAACAATACCCCTTTGGTAAATAATACAGTGCCTTTTTCAGTCAAACGCATAACCCATGCTTTTCTACAACACGAAAAAAATTTTATCTACAATAAACGAGATCTTAGAACCCTCCCCCTCCCATTTAAAAGAACATATAAACAGAAAATATAGGTACAAGTAAAGTTACAAGAAAATTGCACAAAGCCAAAGAAATGAAAACCATAACCCTTCAGAGCTTCATCAGCCAGGGACAAGGAAATACACAAAAGGTGAAGAGTTTTGAGTTGTGTGCTATGACAAAATTCCAGGAACTCAAACAACATTTGGACACATTTTGTTTCAGCTAACTTTGCTCACAACCCCTGACTTGGCCAAACGATAGATGGCCCACAAGGGGACAAAACGGGTTCCTTCTCGAGAAAACCTCCTGAACGCAAAGCTCGTGCAACACTGCACTGCACAGCACACTCAAGAACTCAAGCCAGCCTAGGCATATACTGCTTTGTTCTTTTTTCAACTCACTCTTCAGGGCAAAGTGGTGACTTATTTTAGGGCTGTTCTCTGGGGTGTCCACCGAGTAGGGCACACTCATGGGAAGGCTTCTCTGTCTTACCTGGAATCGGTGCTTTTGTATAATTTTATGAGAACAAACATGATTCCAAATGCATTCGTTTCTAGAGGTAAACCTTCCAAAGATATTATTTTAAATGCACTGGTTTACATTCAGTAGGTTGCTCATTAATACAGGAAAAAAAAATTTCTCTACAAAGGGCAATGTTTTGAAACCTTCCTTCCAAGTTTGTAAAATGGAATTGATGAAACTGTTACATTTTGGGCCCTCAAGCCGTTAGAGTTGGTCGACACGAGTTTAGAAAATTGTCCAGGCCATCCTTTCTTTTACAGACAGACAAATGGAGGCCCATGGTCACCCTCCAGTTTTGTGGCAGAGCCGGCTTGATCCCGGGGTCTCCTGACTTTCGTCTATGATTACACGTCTTCGCATGCCCTCGTGGGGCACTCGATGAGGAAGCAACAGCCGTGGATGAAAACACTGCAAACCCTCTGACCTATCCTGCCACAAGAGCTCTGACATCTTCCTGCTTTCTTGGTACCGGTTTTTCTTAGGATATACATACATTCAATGGGTATATGCTATACTCAAAGCTGTGCCTTTGGTTTGATGAAGTAAAACCAAATTTAAAACTGGTTCTCATGTCTGTTAACACACCGCTTCCCTCAAAAAGGCCTGGATCCTGTATGTGGTTGGCTATTTACTGCGCTAATGTTTTTAACTTTAGAGATTCACTGAGGTATCTTAATATTCATAAGTTGCTATTAATGGACACTAAATATGTAGAATTCTGCTGCTTAAAGTACTGACTTTGGTAGCATTTAATAAATTGAGACTGACCGAATGGAAGCATTTTTAAAGTAAGTGAAAACGTCACCATTAAGTGAAAAGACACGCGTCGCCACGGCTGCAGACGCCTGTCTGACTGGACTGGGGACTACATCTTCCTTCAGGCCAGGGCCGCAGAGCTGAGCAACCGTCGCTCTTCCAGAGGCGGATCCAAGACGGAGGCCTTTGTCCCCAGGTGGGGAAAAGGTCCTTTGGGGAGGGAGCTAAGAATTCAGGAAGTTTAGTTAATTGTTCGTGACACACACTCACTTCCTCTTCACTCATGCATCTGGAGTCTTCATTCCAAGGATTTCCCTCTGTATTTTGCTCTTATTAGGAAAAGTTCTAAAATGTGGTCTTTACATCTCAAAAACCAGTCAGAACTTGAAGAACTGAAACTTACTACTATAATTCCTTTCTTGTGCTACTCTCATTCTCTTAAGTCTCATTTCATTTCACCTTTTATTTTCATTAAAAATAAAGTTTTCAACAGAAGGGGAAATAATATTTTAGGATATGTTATCTCAAAGAAATCTTCTCCTTTTATATAATTGATACCACAAAATGAAAAAAAAAAAAGAATTGCTTTTAAAGGATTAATAGGAATTTTTCCCAATTAGAAAAAGTTACAAACTGTCCAGTAAAAAAAACCTTCTATCACATCCTTTTTATTTCTTGCAGCAAAATATACTGCCACCAATAAGTCATTACATACTATTTTTCTAAATAAATAATAAAGTGGGCATAACTCACCAGAACATAGTAACAAAATAATTCCTACAAACACTATGAAAGCAAGATAAATAATTAACTTTTGGACAATAAAACAGAGGAACTGCATTTAAATTATTTAGAAATAGGCTATAACCATTATTGCACAGCTGATAATAAGCATTGAAACATCATGTTAAGCTACAGAAACTCATATAAAAGAATTATATAATTCTGAATACATTGCTAAATTCTTTCTGGAAATATTTACCCACCAAAGAATCTGGTTCAATATTTTAAAATATAAAATGGGAAGCTCTGGTATTAGCTGGGAGATGTCCTTCACCATATTTGAAACCTCACCTGTGTTTCTTCTGGGTCTGAAGAAAATGGTAAGTGATGTCATCTTGCATTGGGCCTGTTTCTTTTCTAATTTTTAAACTAAAATATAAGATTGAAAACAAATTTTTTTTTTTGGGGAAAATAACGTTTCTGCAGTATCTTCCACCTGTTTGTTTTCAAACAAAATCCAAATTTAGGACCCTAAACTGGTACACAGTTCTTGTGTTCCTACCCTAAACAACATCACAGATATCAGTAACTGAAAACTATGAACTGGGTCTTGTTATCAGGGCTGAGTATTGCCCTCCGTGGAGGGGGAGGTGGGAAAAGAGAACCTCTGGATTTTTTTTGTTGTTGTTGAAATTAACAAAGAATAGTCAACCAACTACAGTAAGTACTGTAACTTTAACCACATTCTCCCAGTGGTTTATCTCCTCAGTAAACAGTCTGTAAGTTAATAAACAACTTTTTTTTTTTTTCTAGAAAAGCTTGTGGGGCTCTTGTCAAAAGAGTTGATTATAACTCTTATCTTTTCATACCCTGGCAAATGCCTAACATTTCTTTTGCTACATTTCTAATCTGTTGGAAAACATCTCTAACCAACTGAATTTTAATACAGCCCCAAAGAGGAAAGGAGTGCTTTCAAATCAGTGTTGTCAGCATTTTTAGAAAGAGCAAGTATAGAACAGTGTTACCTAATGGGGAAGACACCGCCTCTGGCACAGTTCCCAGGTCCAACAATGAGAGGGGAGAGGGAGTGAAGCCCACTTCTCAGCAGCAGGTCTCTTAAGGAGCCACCACCGCAGCCCAGAAAATCGCTGCCCCACACCACACTACTCGGGGATCTTTCTCCCGAAGGCAATCAGACTGAATGATCGCTGAACCAACGGAATTCTGACGTAGTAGGAAACTAGTGGAGGTTTCAGTGTAAACCTCCTCTGAAGAGGAGCGTGGCCCTTGTACTGCTTCAGGTCACACGACGTGAGCCACCTGCGTGAACACCTGCAGGAGATCCTTCCTCGCCCGTCATCCTTTCCCCTACGAGCTCATGAGCAAATCGTATTTATACCTGGTAATAGCACCCCCGTAAAACGCCTACTTTTATTAGTCAAACACAGTGCATTTGCCAAAATACCCCTCATTAATCAAGTCACCTCTGGGGGAATAACATAATATGCGTGAATTAAACGTTGTCCCCCCCACAAGAGAACCTGTACCTTCAGGATTTTTTGGTTGTGTTTTTCTTAACAAGTTTTTTATATTTACACTAGTAGTGATGTTGGAGGAATAATAAAAGCTAGATGTTGTGGAGAATGAAAACAATGCACACTCCTCGTCTAGAAGAACAGCAGGTGAGAAGGCAGTCTAACCTTCCCTCTGAAGGGCCCTTTGTCCCGTCGCCGACATAAGCAAACCCAGTAGGACATTCCCACAGCGACCATGCCTCCTAAACACCACCAGATAGGTGCCTCGCACCCTTTGCTTGCAAACACCGCTCTCCTGTATTTTACTTTTGTTTAAAAAAATAAGAGAAGAAAAAAAAAATAAAGGATAATAAAAACCCAAACAAACAACAACGAAAGGTCAGTGCCCTCCCCTGGGCCTGACAGACGTTTCCAGTTTTGCCCTTGTCTTCTGGTCCCCCGGGCACCAGGCCGTGCAGGCTCCTCCAGCGTCTGCGATCAGACCGCTTTCTCCTCCCCACACCAGTCTCTTCATTTGAGGCGCTGGGTCACGTTGGCCAGGGCAACTGCAAAGGCCTGCACAGCGGAGAAGGGGTACTGGAAGTCCAGGATGTACGCATTGCCGTCAATCCTTCCAAACTGCATCACCTGGGGTGAGGGTGGGGCAGGGAAGCAAAGACGTTAAAGGAAAACCTCCTTGCGGCTCCTGATAGAAGCAGACAGCGCGGCCTGTGAGATATTTCTGCCAACAAAAGCGACTCTGAAAAGCTTCTCAATCTAACTATGAGTTTGTCGGAAATAAACAGATGGAAGAACACGTTAAATCGTGCAGTGGGGAGGCCACAAGCAAAACTCAGAGCATGGAAAGCTCCGCGGGTCAAAGGAAGTGGTTTCTCCACCAAGGAAACAGAAGGAGAAAGAAAACGTAGAGAAGAAAATCTACAGGCTAAAGAGGCTTAAGAGAACCACCACCTGTGATGTCAGATGTCACGCTGCTCAGAGAGGGACCAAGCAGAGCACACGTGGTCCCCCTTGCACTCCACCTCCTGCACCTGCTTTCCTGTCACCCCAGTGCTTACTGTGACCACACTGTATCATGTTATTATATGATGTTACACATATTTGTTTATGGTCTTTCTTCCATTTTTGTAAACTCCAGGAGGACAGAGATCTCCCTCTGTTTTCCTCAGTGCTCTAAATTTCAGCACTCAGAACTGGGGTTCCCAAACTCTCTGTAAAGGGCTGATGATAAAACATTTTAGACTTTGTAGGTCATATGGACTTTGCCACAGCTACTGAACCTCTGCTGCAGGGCAAAAGCAGCGCAGACAGTACTGAAATAATGGGCGAGGCTGTGTTCCAGTAAAACTTTATATAACGAGGCTGCAGGCTGGATGGGCCTGTAGGCCATAATTTCCCAACTCCTGGCCAAGAGGATTGCCAGGCATATAGCAAGTGCTCAATAATCATTTCTTGAGTGAATTAATGACGATGAGATTTAAATATGAGCGGTGAAGGGAATTTCCGGGATGGTGGAGAAGGGCAGTCCCAGAACGACAGCTATGCAGTGGGACCACAGCAACAATTCCAGGTTGGCGCAGGAAGAACTGACAAACTATGCAAAGTGCTCAAGTGCACCAAGAAGAGATGTATGTTCTGCCAGAGAACTGGGGAAGGACTTAACAACAGAAACACAGAAAGACAAGCAAATGAAAACTGGGTAATTATTACGTCTTGAGTAAAAAGTCTACACGATAAAAAAGGAACTGTAATTAAACCCTAATACACGGCTCAGAAATAAACCATATTCAGTGGCACAACGAGGGGACCAATGACTACTGATTTACCTGCGAAAAGGGGGAAGGGAAAGTTCACCTGTTGGGGGGCGTTGGGGTGAAGAAAATGAACCCTTATGGTGCTCAGGAAGAAGTCAGTACATGACGCCCCAAACTAAAAAATCAAGAGATAGAAGTAGGAATGTGTTCTTCGCAAGTACGGTGGCAAACACCAGAAGCAGCACACAGACTTAGTTGTTAGAGCTGGCCTCTGCAGAGCAGCTGCCTGCTATTTTCCTCATGGGTCTCACAGAACCATCTGACTTCAAAAAATCAGGACATGCATTACTTTGGGGAGAAATAAAGAAGAGATAGCAATAGGCACACTGAAAATTACAAGCCCGACCGGCCCCAGCTAAGAGTCATCAGCCGTTTCCCACATTTCCCATCTGGCCTTCATAAAAATGCTCCCGAAGGCCAAAGTCCAGAGACCTGTCGGGACCAGACAGTGGCACTCGGGCCACACCCCAGCACATGGCTTCTTACCTGCCGCCCCTCCAGCTCGATCTGGAAGTTCTTTGCCGACTCCTGGGTCACCCGCCCCCCGAAGTCCAGCTGGTACACCTGGGTGGCCTCGTTCCAGAGAGGCTGCTTGTTGGCCATGACGTACACGAAGCCTTGGCTGCCCAGCCGCCCGTCCTCTTTCTCGCTGGCTTTCCTGCACTTGAACTCCTCCAGCTCACTGGCCGCCCTCAGGCTCCTCTTGCTCTTCCAGCCCTTCTTGCTGCCCTGGCTCTGGTTCATCAGCTCGTCCCCGCTGATGAACAGCTCCGGCTCGCTCTCCGAACTGTCCTGGAACTCATTTGTCTTATTCAACTTCTTCGACTTCAGCTGGTCTTTCTGACTCTTCACTTTCTTCTTCTCTCTCCCCAGGCGGGGGCTGGAGATCAGGGAATTAAAATCACTCAAAGTCCGAGCCTCCTTCTTCACTTTGCCTTCAGTGATGGCCTGAACATTTCCCTCCTCGGCCCGGCTGTCCAGCCGCTTCCGGTTCTTCTTTCCGAATTTCTCTGTCCGCTGGGGCACTGGGCTCTCCGTCAGGGAGAGGACTTCCTGGAAGTTGTCTGCTGTCTCTACCATCACCTCTGTACCCAGGTGGGTTTGGAGGTCCGTGGGCGGCGGGGACACGAGGGGCTTCTCCACCACCAAGTGCGCCTTGGGAGGAAGAGCGCCCTGGGGGTTCTGCACGGGCGGGCACGCGCTGTAGGAATTCCAAGGGTGCAAGGCGATGGGTGGCAGTTGTAAACTCGAGCAGGCGCTGCTTCCCGGATACATGGGGGGCAGGGGGCAGTAGGAGAGGCTGGGCGGGTAGGCCGTTTGAAGAACCACCGCGGACTCCTGTTGTGCAAACTGTGCTGGGGCCAGAGCGTCTTTCGGGGAGCAGGGAGCCTGCACCCCCGTCAAAGCGGAGGTGTTATAGCCTCCCGGATAGGGCACTCCCATGTCATAGCCTGTCTGGAAAGTGGCAATAGGGCTGGCGGGAGGCTTGGGGGAGACGAAGGACACTCGGGACACATCCAGGTGCTGGCTCTGACCTACCATCAGAGGGGACAGCTTCAGGGGGTTGGGCACCGCGGTCTGTGCTGTCCTTTCCTGAGGAACCCAAACATCCTCCCCCAGCACGGGGTCCCACTGGTAGGGGGGCGGCCGCTTCACGGCCACAGCGGCTTCGCTCAGCTGGGGGTGCCTCAGCGGCTTCTCGGCCTGACAGTGCTGGGCCAGCGCCTCGTCCTCTGTGAAGGCCGAGTTGACGTAGTCGGCGCGCTCGCGGGCGCCGTCGCCCGCGCTCAGGAGGCTGTAGGACGACTGGGAAGTCAGCGGGGAGGTGCCGGCCGCGTGCACCAGGCCGACGCCCGGCTGCGACCCCGCGCCCGGCTCCGGCCTCCCCGCCGCGCCCGCGCCGCTGCACTGGCTGCAGGTGTACAGGGCGGGCGGGGGCCGCGCCGGGAACTGCGCCGCGCCCTTGGGCCTGGGCGGGTGCGGCGGCGGCCGCGGGGGCTCGGCCAGCGGCGCCGCCTTCAGCGCCGCCTCGCGGTTGTTCCTGCGCAGTGTGGCGTGGATGAGGCCGCCGTCGGGTCTCTGCCCCGCGCCGCGGCCGGGGGCGCCCAGCGGGCCGGCGAGGTCCGGGTAGGGGGGCGGGTCCCCCGGGGGGATGGAGTAGCGCGGGACCGTCAGGCGGTTCAGGGTGGCGCTGGTGCAGGGCTGCGGGACCTTCTTCTCGGTGGCGGTGAGCCTCAGCGTGGCCGAGCTGCCTGGGCCCGGGAGCGCGTAGGTGTTCTGGGAGCAGAGCATGCGTGTCCGGGGCCGGCACACCTCCTCCACGTTGCCGCTGCTATCGAAGGTGGTGATCCTCTCGTAGCCCAGGGGCGGCTGGTAGTGCGCCGCCGTAGGGTAGGGCGAGAAGTCGCCCTTCTTCAAGCACGTGTCCAGCGGGGGCGGCGGGGGCGGTGGCGGCGGCGGTGGCGCCGCGGTGGTGGGGGCCGCGGGGATGGTTCCCGGGTAGGGGGGTGGGGGGTTCATCTTGGCCACCTGGACCTCCTGGGGGGCGCTGAACACCACCGCGTCCCCCTCGGTAGCCAACTGTGGCACCGGCCGCAGGGCCTTGGCTGGCTTCTGCAGGTGCTCGTGGTCTCGGTCCCCGTGGTCCAGCACGGACAGCTGGATGGCCCCCTGTGCTGGCGGCGGCAGGGACAGCTGAGGGGGGTTGGGGATGACGCGGCTCATCTCCACGCCCCCGAAGATCACCTGGCCAGGGCTGGAGTAGCGGCTGGCCACTGGGTACTGGGCGGCGCTGTCGCTTGCGTGCTCGGCAGCGCCCACGGCTGTGGTCTGATTGGTCAGGACATCCAGCTGCACATTCTGGTTGGCCAGCAGGGACTGCACCAGCCCGATGCTCTGCGTGGGGGACATCGCTTGAGCTGAGCTGTGGATGGGGGCGATGGGGATGTTAACGGTGCAAGGTGGGTTGTTCTCGGGCACACCAGATGCTCCTGTCACTGAAAGGAAATTAGAAAGATGAACTGCTTACAAACAAAACACTGCCATGAAACTGGGTCAGAATAAGCAACACACCTCTACTCATCCAGTCCTTCTGCATACAGAATGCAGTCGCTACAGAGGAAGGTGTGTTTGCTTAGGGAAAGCTGGACAGTTCACACAAGTTACACAACACTTCCCTAAATGTTTCTAGAAGGACACACAGGCAATCCCAGGGGGTTCTTCAGGGCAGCCTGCAGTCGTCCGTAAGCTAAGGGCACTGCCAGAGCTTTTCAATAAATACCTCTGAACCTTCTGAATTTGGTACCATGCACCTGAATGGCACCATGGCAAATGATTAAGTGTTTAAAAGATGCTTTTAACTTGTGATATTCATAAAACGGCTCCCTCTTTTGTGCAAGAAGAGGGCCCTGGTACAGTATGAAACTCCACTGAGGACTCAGTGCCTAGGCTTCTTTAGAGTGGATTCATCCAGGGTCACGGACTGGTTAGTGTGGGAAGTGTCATGCAGCAGGTGTGTGTCTGAGATCTGTACAGCAATTAAGTTTCTGTAAATAGAACCATGTGAAATGCAGTAGAGAAACCAATGAAAAGACTCCTCTAGCAAATCTGCATATGAGGGGAAGGGTCATTTCCTAATTTAGCTGCTTTTTAGCATTTCAAATGGTATATAAGGTGAGCCCCATTGAATACACCCTGTAAATATATCCTATTTGTTCACAGTGGGGATTTAATAAAGTGTATATTTGAGCGTTGATCTGCAGACCACGTGCATGTGCTCAGAGCCACTGTCTGAACTGCCCTGTCTGAAGTGCTCACCGAGCACGGCAAGCTGAGTGCTGTGTGGCAACCAGTATCCGAGCAGGAAATAGAATTTAACAGGCTAATTGCAGAGGCCGGCTGACCGTTCACCAGAACTTCAGAACGAAACCAGCTGGTTCATGAAAAGCTAAGCCCACCCTCAGCGCCTGTAACAGACTCTCCCCTTCCGGGGGGTCCTCTTGTGAGAGGTAACTGTCTCCTGGCTGCACGAATCTGGGCCCTGTCCCAAGTTTTCTACTATTCCTGTTCAGCTTCCTCTTCCAGCCGTTCTCTCCTTGGTATAGAATACTGACGACAGGTGTCTTCCCCACTGAACGAGACGAGAGTCTCTGTCGCGTCACGAAGCACTGAGTTTAAACTCTGAGACCAAACGTTCCCTCCTCCACAGGGAACCACAGACGATTACAACAACAGCTGAGCGTTAGAGAGAGCTCTATCAGTCACGTTCTGGGAGAATGGAAGGCGATAAGGAGAAAGTGTAAAAGATACTCCCAGATCCAAGGCTGTGAGCTAGCAGGGCACAGGCTACACGCTCAAGGTGTGCAGCCTCACCAAACCACAGGCTAACACGGTTGCAAGACCTTGCCCATCAGGGCCGCGTGAGTCCAGAACATCTGCCCCACCCATGAGGAGAGGTAAACTGTCAGAGGACCAAAGGCGGCTACTGTCAGAAAGCACTGGGCTGAGAGAAGGCAGACAACTCCCTCACGTTCAGAGCCTGAGCTGGGATCAGTGTCTAGCCCATCCCATGGCGAGACTAGAGCCCTTCTGTCTGAGAATGACCAGGTACAGGAAAAGTCAGTGGCCCATGCAGGGTTCCTCTGGCTCAGAAACCAGAGACTTTCAGAACCTTGCTTGGTTGTAAGTAGAGGAATCTCTGTGTTTATAAAACTGTTGCAGGTGGACTTCTTTTGAGAATAGTCACAGACAATAATTGGGAGACTAATTAGAATTCATTCTAGTCTGTTAATCAAAATAGGACCCCCTGACTAGAAAGCACTTAAATGAACCTAAGATGCTATAGATATTTCAAAATCTGTAAACTGGGATTTTAAAACCTTGTACCAGATTTTACTTTTAACTCACAGCAGGCTTCTGTTCTATGCATGGAGACCTGCACTGCACTTAAGAGAGAGACGTTGAAATGCACAGGTTTTCTGCCCGGGAGACGGGGCAGGTTTGAGAAACTGGGCTTCGTGGGCATAGGGTCATCTGCGTGACGTCATTCTCTAAGCAGGGACAGAGAGGACGAGGGCTGGCCTAGGGTCCGTGAGACAGGGTTTCGTTTCTGATGTCTTATTGGTCCCGTTAACTTCTCTTTATGCAGGCACGTGACTAGGAGGATCACCCTGAGGGTGCGACGAGGTGGCAGCAGCGCTCAAAGCCACCTCCACCTCCATCGTCCTTACTCTGGCAACTCCCCTCCTCCCCAAACTAGTGACAGTATGTGACCTTTCTGCCGTGACACCTCACATGCCTTCCAACCTCACTGAGGCAGCAGGCACAGGCTGACGTGCTGTAATCCTCAACTACTACCACTCTGTCCCCCAACACGACCCACTAAGAGAGGGTGTGGGCTCGTGACAAACCAGCTGACATGCGTGAACACACCTGGTAAATCATCTTCATCTTCACTGAACACATTTGGGTTGAAGACAGGTAAATTAACAAAGTCCATGGAAATCTTCCGAACCTCCGGGAGATAGATGGTCATCTGCCGCGGCTGGAGATGCAGGAGGCTGGTTTTATAGATTACTGGTGGGGAGGAGGAGGAAAGCACGGTCAACAGAGACAAGCAGAGGGCAGCCAGGGTGCCAGCAGAGTCCCTCACGGGGAGAGAAATGGGGCTGCGGTGTCCCTGCCCTCCGAAGACAGAACTGTGCAGGCGGGCTGAGAGCCTGAGGGCAGCTGCGCATCTGCCCCTGGCACTCGACCCGCCACCCTGGACACAGTGCAGATTCAGTGACAGCAAATTCTCGGTCTAGCCCGGCCACTCTGCCAGTGGTTTGTCTACAGAACCACACATTTTAAATGTTAAAAACGTACACTCTTTTTTGGAATGAGCTGGAAATGGTATATTTTTTTAAACCTCATTTGCAATCAGAAGGATAATTTAGTGAAAACAGTTGTGATAACCAGAGCGCCGAGCTCAGGGGAATCTCAGCCAATCAAGGAGCTGTTTGAAGGCGACTATGACAGAAGGGGTGACGTGACTCAGGTAGGGATAAAATGCCGCTTTTCTTCAGGACTGAATTCTTATCTTACTGACTTGCTATTTCAATTTCATGATCAGGATAGACACTTACGGGGAACTGCCACATGCTTCTTCAAATACTAAGGTTTACTTTGATTAATGGGGACATTTAAGAGAAGGCCTAGATTGCAACTAAAATATTTAGAGACAAAATAAGCTGAAAAAAATAATGAATCTGAATTTAAGTTTCACGGTAGATTAGAATCAGGATGAAACTGCCCCGTCAACTTTCCCTTTACACTCTTTCCTGTGACACATGTAGAGTTGCTTTAATTATTACTATTTTAAGTTTTCTGTTAAGATAAGCCAAACCCTATCTCCACAGCTCTCACCTCCAACAGCCTTGTGGCTGGCTGGCCAGCAGCCCCAGGGCGCAGTAGACTTCCTTTTTTGAAGCACCTCTGTAAGGTGCGTGCTTGGACTGGCGTGGGCTAAGATGATTTTTCCAACCCAGCAGTCCTTACAGGTCTTTTTCATCTCCCTTGCCCACAGAAGAGAATATGCATTTCGGCCTAAAAACTCTGGATGGCCATATAGCTTAAGAATTAATGCATGCATTAAAGTGCTACTCTTTGTCATTCAGATTGACACAGAGAAATAAAATTAAAAATCTCAGGAGGGATTAAGACATAACATCAGTTGCCTCCAGTGGGGGGAAGAAAACCTAGGTGCTGGGGGTGAGGACGAGACAGCTTAACTATGCTCCTTTAAACCTTCTGAATTTATTCCATATTTTTAAAATTAAGAAATGTAAAAAATTAAAAATAGAAAATTTCACAGGCCAGATCATTCTAATAGAAAGAAACAAATTATTATCCAATTATCCAATATAAAGTAACCAACAGCACTCACTTTTTTTTCTTTTAACAACCACAGGCCAGGCCATACAGACTTCTAGCTTTCCATCCACACTGGTGAGCTTACCACAGTATTTAACAGGGTGCCCATATGTAATATACCTTCTAAAATCCAAGAGTTAATTTCTTCTCTCTAGTAGAATCAAATGCAAAATTCTCTTCGCTTGACATATGGTACTAGCTAAAACCCTCTTTTTAAAAAGGTCAATGACCAGGACAGTGACTTCACCACAGTCACACAGCAGGCTTTGGTCCCGGGCACTCCGATTCCTCGCACTGCAGCAGCACGGGCCTCAGAGGCACCTACGGGCCCTCCCATCTGAAGGTCTCGCTGACCCACTCGCGGATCTACTCAGCGTCCAAGCAATAAGGGCAGACAGAATGAAAAGATCCAGGAAGTAAGTTCCTTCATTCCTTTTTTCAACGTTTATAGTCAGCAGATGGCTAAGTTCTCAGCTTACTGACATGGGGATGGTCACAACCCTCACACAGTGGTATAAGAACCCCGTGTACACCAGCAGCGCACTGCTGAATTACTGAAGAACAGGCTTTTGTGGTCTTCAGAGGGTGTCCAGGTTGTGGAAAATACCCTAAGAGATTTCTTTGCATTATGTACAGGGATAGTCTACTCTTATTTCCTAAGTCAGTTTTATAGTTTACCTTTATTCCTCCTCTTCTCTAAGCGGAATAACTTCAAAATGAAAAATCCACCTGCAGCACTGCTTAATAAGCCTCTGAAGATACAGACACAGCAACGTATCTTTTAACGTCTGCTTTGCAAGAGTTATTTATTTTAAAGGATCTGTGTTTGAGACAGCTCTAATAGGCAGATTCAGAATTAAAAACAAAAAACAAAAAACATTTTTAGTAGGTCACACAGAGCACATTGAAGATGGGGCCCCCAGCCACAGGCTGGCCACGGCGGCCTTCTGGAGAGGTGTGTGCACGTCAAATGATCAGGCCACCCCACAAGGTGGGGGACACGCCTGTCCCCACACGGCCCATACAGGGCCGTGCCAGCGGGAGGAAGCCACTTGGAAAAGGACCTCTGTCATTTCCCTCCCTCACTGTCCCGGAGTAAAAGTGACACGTTAGTGCTACTCACTCAAGTCGGGTACCGAGGAGGACGCACACTCTGGGTTCTCGCCCAGCTCTGTCCTCCGTTGGTTCCATTTTCCCCGATGTCTCAAGCTTCCAACAGACAGGATATTTATCTGGTACTTAGAAATGAAATCTACAAAGATTTACCACTAAGAACTGTCCTAACAGTCAGCCCACGTGTTCTAATAGCCTCCAATGCTCTCTTCTCGACTTTCTTGAGAAGTTTCTTTTGCCTCAAGAACCTAAAGACACTGGTACCAAAATCTGCCCACGGTCAGAAATCAAAATAACCAGAAACCTATCAGAGCTTTTGGTTATTTCTGTCATTTTTATCAGTCAGGGCTTATAGAAAAAAATCAAAGCACCACTGGCAAAAAAACCCCCGATTCGAGCAATAATTCTAATTTTTACAACATCACGGTGGCTAACCTGGAGGTAAAGCACATGCTAACCTTTTGGTGTCGTAAGCGTTCGTGTTTTACTTTAGGCCACTGGAGGTCGAAACTGATTTCTCAGCCTGAGTTCCGACTGGGATGCATGCAGTGCTTACCTGCACCGAGGTTGGTTGGCAGGAAAGCAGCCAAGCCCACGATCTTAAATTTGGTTCCCCAGATATTAGACGTGACCTGAGCAAGATAGTTGTGCTGTGGGGGGGAAGAAAAGAAGAAAAACCACAATCTCTTTCCATATTTTCTATCAATCACTTAAGAAGTAAGAATGCCAACACTTTTTGCTTAAAAAGTCGCTGGTGGGCACTGACAGAAATATTCATTCTCTGTATCATTCTACCGTTTTCAATACCAGACGCCGACTACAGCATGCCAGGCCCTATTTTTACGTGGTGGCTCACGGGCTGTGATTCTCAGGTCTGGGAGTGAGGGGCGGATGGTGTCCCAGTGTGCCCGTGTGTGGGTAGCTTAGAAAGGTCACAGAAGTGACGTGGGCACATTTTTCTTCACCTCTCCTTTTGCCCCAGTCACTGATCTATTACACAAGGTACCAAGCTCTGACTCCATTCTTAGCCTTGATATTTCTCCCAGAAATATCAGTTGCATTGATACCACTATGTCCTGAGACCACCCAATTATGTTTTTTCATTCAATTAAATTTCAAAAAACTTAAAAAGTTATCACTGTGCTCAAACCACACATATGTGTAGGGTGTGTGTGTACGCATGTGCAAGGGCAATAATAAAGACGAATAAAATCTAGCTCCTCAGGAAAAGGGAACCCTCCAACACTGTTGGTAGAAATGCAAACGGGTGCAGCCACTGTGGGAAACAGTATGAAGGTTGCTCAAAAAACTAAAAATAGAACTACCATATGATTCAGCAATTCTATTTCTGGGTATTGTTCTGAAAGTGAAACTCCCAAGACACTAATTTGAAAAGATATGTGCACACCAAAGTTCATAGCAGTATTATTTAAAATAATTAAACATGGAAGCAACCTAATTACCCATCAATAGATGAATGGATACAGAAGCTGTGGTACACACACACACACACACACACACACACACACACACACACACACACACACACACACACACACACACGAATACGGCTCAGCCATACACAGAATGAAATCTTGCCATTTACTAACAACATGGATAGACCCAGAGGGTATGTGCTAAGTGAAGTAAGAGAGACAAAGGCAGATACTGTATGATTTCACTTATATGTGGACTGTAAAAAACAAACCAAATGAACAAATACAACAAAACAGAAACAGACTCGTGGAGAACAAACAGGTGGTTGCCAGAGGGGAGGGTGGGGGGATGAGTGAAACAGGTGAGGGAGATTAAGAGCTACAATTCCAGTTACAAAATAAATAAATCACAGGGATGAAATGTACAGCATGGAGACTACAGTCAATAATATTATAATAACTTTGTATGGTGACAGACAGTAACTAGATTTATCACAGTGACCATTTTGAAATGTATAAAAGTATCAAATCACTACATTGTACACCTGGAACTAACATAGTGTTGTAGGTCAATTACACTTAAACCTCCGCCCCCCGCCCACACACATACACACAGGCACTGAGAGCTCATAAGCTGATGGAGGAGATCAGGCTTGTAATTATTTGCAGACAGAGAGTCACGGAGCAATGTTATAAGGGAGCTATAAACAACATGCTTTGGGGTTACTCTGGCTGAGTCAGGGAAGGAAGGCTTCGTCATGGAGGAGAACCTATATCTGGAAGCGTGAAGGCAGAAACAAGGGGGAGGAGACGAGAGGATGGGCCCGATGACCCGGAGATGGAGACGCAGGCAGGACAAAGGCACAAAGGTGGGAAGAGGCCAGTCAACAGCGAGGCTGCAGACCCGGGGGTGAGGGGGACCAGGAGGGAGACAGGCAGGCCAGACTGCGGGGCCGCAGCTGGGGCTGGGCTCCCGCAGACACTGGGAGTCACTGGGGGGTCAGGAGCAGTTTGAGGGAGCAGAGGTGGACATGAGGATATGTCTCAAGCAGAGCTGCCTGGGAGAAGGTTCTCGTGGCAGCAGCAGGGATGCCCGAGGTGGGAGGGAGGCCCAGCGGGATGAAGAGGTGGCAGGGGTACCGAGGGGGGCAACCAGGGCTCTTCTCCAGGGCGCCCGGGTCGGGCACTGCCGTCCCAGGCACGGAGACGGTCCCGAGGGCTCAGCCGCTGTCATGCACGCACGAGGAGGGGTGCGTGGCGGGGCTCAAGACACTACCTGAGTGATGTCTTCAAAGGGAAACTCCCTCCGCGTCAGGCTGGGCGAGCCGATGGACGGCTTGCGCATGGGCAGGCGAGGAGACCGGGATATCTCCTGAGCCGCACGCGACAGCTTGGGGGACTTCCGAGCCTCAATGTTAATCCTGCAGAGACGAGGCCACGGGTCAGGCACCCACCGGCGCTCCCGGACCCTCCTCACTTTCCAGCAGCCCCCCATGGTGTCACTCTCTCAGAGGCTGGGCCCTTAATTTAATCAAGTCCCTCCCACCTGCTTTTGCCTTACGAACATGAGGAAAGAAGGACAGAATCGTATATCAAATAGCATATATTTAAAGTATACTGCGGTTAGATGAAGCGATTCATTTGTAAGGAACCCCTGAGAATTAACTTTTACTTCCTATTGACGAAGAGTATGTTTAGAAATGCCTTCTGCCGGGGATTTACAAAATTAGTCCTGGGGAAAATGGTGAGTGGGAAGAGTTATTTCTCACCTTAAGACCACAATGATTTCACAATTCCTAATACATAATGTTTGGAATTCAACAGACTTATCTAGCATTTCACCACCTGCAATATTTAAATTAGATCTAAAGTTTGTCTTCAGTTCCTATGCTTATGACATGGGGAACATACGTGTTTAATGCCAATCTACCCCGTAGAGAGTATTATAAAAATGAACATGGTAAGGTTGATGGCGTTCTATGAAGGAAAACCATGAAGCCTCACATATACTGCTTGAGAGCTTGATAAGATATCTAGGGCTGAGGGGGACACAGCTGGTTAAATCTCCGTGCGAGGACAACCAGCCTGGCTGCTGTGTGCAGGGGACTCAACGCTGGGAAAGACGGAAGGAAGGAGGACCAGCTCTGGAGACTGCCGCACCCAGGAACTTCAAATGGACATTTACACGTGAAGGATTTGACTACTTATGTGTTAAATGGCCTCTCTGCTTAAGTAACGGGAAAAGCGGAAACACTGCAGAAGTGTAGGAAAGTTCATAATCTAATTTGCAAATTAACAAGCTTAGAATAAAGATGAAAAAAGAAATCAATCAGGTTGCTAGAGCAAATGGATATCTACGAGGGAAAAAACGCAAACATTTACCCCTAACTCATATTTACACAAAAATCAATCTGCGGTATAAAATTCATCTGAGAGCGAAATGTGAAAGCTAAAACTTTACAGAGCATCCAAAAGAGAACAGAAGAATGTCTTCATGACCTTAGGGTAGACACAGATTTCCTCAACAGGACGAAAAAAAGAAGAAATGCACATATTAGATTGTATGACAATCCATGTATCTGCCGAAGGACTCCCAGTTAGAAAACACAAGACACCCGAATGGCCAACAAACGTATGAAAACTTGCTCAGCATCATTAATCACTGGAGATAACTAGGATTAAACTATTGGGTTGGCCAAAAAGTTTGTTCGGGTTTCCCATAAGATCATATGGAAAAACCCAAACGAATTTTTTGGCCAACCCAATACAACCAAATACCGCTTCCCACCCACCGGAATGCATACAATTTTTTAAGTGACCTTCAACTGCAGGTAAGAATGGGAGCAGTGAGAGCTCTCATACACTGCTGGTGGGAATGTGAAATGGTACAGGCACCTAGGGATACTGTTTGGTAGCTTCCCATAAAGTTCAACACATGTCTACCCCATGGCCCTGCAACTCCCCTCCTAAACAAGTGCATATGTCCCCAGAAGGTCTTGTATAAGAACATCTACAGTTGGTCTTGATTCATAATAGCTCCAAACTGGAAACTACCAAATATCCATCAATTGGTAAATGGAATACATTATAGTATATTCGTAACAAGGGAATTTCATAGAGCAAAAAAAGAGAAACTGCTGATATACGCAACGACGTGCATGAATCAAAATCATTATGTTGAGCAAAAAAGCCTAAAAAAAAAAAAAAGAGCACGTATTTGTTTGACGCCATCTATATGAAGTTCAAGAACAAGCAAAACCAACCTACGGCAATAGAAGTCAGAATGGTGCAGGTATCGAACAGGAAGGGCCCAGGGAACCCTCCAGGGTGACGGAAATCTCATCTTCAGCTGGGTGGTGAATACACTGGTTTATCAACTACACCGTGCTTATGTGTTTAAGATCGGGCGGGACTCTATCTGTATGTGAATTATACCTTGGTTTTGCACAGCATCACAGAGGGATCTTAGTGAAGATCTGGTCCACCCTTTAACTTCCATAGATAAGGAAAGTGGTGTCCAGGTCAGGGAGCCAGGATGGGGCATGTGGGGTTTCTTATCTACAACACCATAGCCCCTTCCACCTCCTCTCAGCTTTCTGCCACTGCTTAGGACAAACTTTAGGATCTAATTTTTTTTAGTTCACTATTTTTTCCCTATTACAGAATTATAGGCATGTAATTCTGCACTTTCTTTAACACATTACATACACCGTAAAAACATTTTTCTTACTTTTCTCAAACTGGAAGGTAAAACAAGCTCCCTGGCTATGGCCACCCCATGCCACCCATCGTCAGTGCTAACCACCCCTGGAATTTCTGCGGGTTTAGCAGACTTGCTACTGGATGTCTTTTTCTATCCCAAAGGCAAGGATGAAGGAAGCTGTGATTACTGCGGGCAGATCTTCCAGATGAAAGGCGACGACGCCCTCTGGCTGTGCTCTTCAGCTGCTGGTTTCAGTGGGATTCTGCTGCAGACACAACAGACACACCTTCGGAGACACAAAAAAAGGGAGCGCACCCCTAAAGACCGAAATTACCTTGGGAGTTTGGGTGATTTGCTAGCTCGGGAGATTTTGGGAGACTTCTTGGCAGCCCAGTCATCACTCAGTTCAATGTCACTGGAGTCTGAGCAGTTGCAGCTGTCAATCATCGTGGAAATCAGGCTGTTTCCATAGATTTCATCTGGTAAGACACCAACCAGCAAAATTTAGGGGAGTAATGTCAATTAGACCCTAACAATGGTCATTACTAGAAACCAGAGGACAGACTGACTCTGACAGGCCATCAGTTTAAGTCTAGAGGTTGAAACAGAAAGGAGCAGGACATTGTTTTCCATCTACCTTTTTATGCTCTTACATTTCCTAAGCAAAAGTAGGCACTTCTACTGCTATCAAAATGGGCATGAATTTTAACGCCTCTGGAATGTACAAAACAGTCTGGCCCTGTTTACTGTGTGGAAGGCTGGAGCCCAAACGGCTGTGCTGTTGCGCCTCATGACACACCAGGCAGCCACCTGGAGCCACACAGGCTTGCGGCGGCCCCGGAACCCACGCCAAGCTGACTTGCTGACTTGCTGACTTGCTGACTCAGTGACTCCCCTGAGGGCCTGCTGCTGGCCTGGGACCTAGGAAGACCCCAGTTGGTTCCAGGCCTGCTCTGGACTAAGACCCATGTCAGGTCTGTTCCAGGGACTCCCAGAAGTTTACGTCTGGATGCCAGGTGGTCTTGGAAGTGCCACAAGGTTGCCGGTGGGCCTTGGCTTTTCCACCTGCAGGAGCTGCTGGCTTGCTTCGAGCAATGGCTGGAATGAGACCCATGCAGTAGAACATTCGGCGGTAGCTGTGGGCTCCGCTGAGGTGCCTGTATGGGGGCCAGCTGGCCATCAGGCAGAAGATGATGTGCACAGAGCAGGCTGTCACCAAACCGCAGAGTAGATGAAGTTCACATTAAACATCCTCCCCAAATCCCCTCTCCTTTGCTGCCTTCCTCACCCCCTCACCCCCCAAAACCCCCCGAAACCCAGCTCTGCCCTCACTGGAAGTACCCCGTGCTTCAGAATCACTTTGCTGACAAAGCCTCATCCCTCCAGGCTCCGAGAGCCTTGCCAGGTAATAGAAAAAGGCACGTGAACTAACTTATAGAACGTGAGTGATCAGATCGTTCAAAAGGGCTGTTTATACTGGAAAGGATGAGTCTGTTAATCCAAACTCAGCGCCAAGTTTCTGAGCATGTGGAGATGACATCTGTGAACAGGGGCCTCTTGGAGGCCACAGGAGGCAAAGCAGAACAACTCGGCAGGGAGGCTGCTGACGCCCAGCCCGTCACTACCTCACCCCCTTAAGCTGCCGCCTGAATCAGGAGGCACAGCTCCGGCACCCAGCGAGCCAGAGTGCTGTGCATCTGAGTTCCACCACGCCCCGAGCAGTGCTTTCTACTACTTCATTTATAATTCGTCGCAAATTATTCCTGGATCAAAGGAAGTTTGGCCATGATTCAAACAGGCGTGTGACCTCACAGAACACTTTCGCGTGTTCATGAGCACAGAGCCAGTCCACAGACCTGAGGAAGTTCAGTAACACAACTCAACGCTGACCTACACTTGTTAACCACTGCTATATACCATACAGTTTGCTCGTTTCCTTCACTGAAGTCTTAGTCTGTTCGGGCTGCTCTAACAAAATACCACACACTGCGTGCCTTACAAACAACAGAAATTACTGTCTTGCAGTTTTAGAGGCTGGAAGTCCAAGGTCAGGGTACCAACATGGCCGGGTTCTGGTCACGCCCCTTTCGGGACTGTAGATTGCTGACCTCTCACCGTGTCCTCACGTGGCAGAAGGGGCCAGGGATCCTCCTGCAGGCTCTTTTATAAGGCACTAATCTCATGATTATAAAGGCTCTGCCCTCATGACCTAATCACCCCCCCCAAGGCCCCACCTCCTGGGTGTATACCATCTCACTGGGCGTCAGAATTTCAACACCTGAATGCTTTCTTGGATGGGGGCACAAACATTCGTAACTAGTGTATTAGCTGTCTCCCTAGCGTGTAACTTCGCCATAATAATGAAACATGAAAGGGGAACATCAGAAAGGACATAATAAAACATGAGAAGTGAGTAACAAAATTATAAGGACTTTATTGTGAAATACAAAATATGTGAATGCATTTAAGGTGTGTATTGATTCATGGCAACACTGTGCAAATAACTGATTTTGTAGGTTGTACCTAAGCACTTGTCTTCCGGGTCTTTTGTTCATAAGTTTTTTTTTTTTTGCTTGTTTATTTGCCTCCTCATTTGACACTGCACTTTTTTTTTCTTGCCAAATTTCTTCCTTCATTAACAGAGATACGTTGGGACTTCCCTGGCAGTCCAGTGGTTAAGAATCCACCATTCCACTGCAGGGGGCACAGGTTCGATCCTTGGTAGGGGAACTAAGATCCCGCATGCTGCATGGTGCGGCCAAAAAAAAAGAGAGAGACAGCGGTTTCCAAACACTAGGCTGCGTGTTTGTGGCTGAGCTTTGTGTCGCGCTGGGAGTGCCCCTACACTGTTGTTCGTGTTCTTGGCATACGGTCCCACGTCCGCTGATAGATGTTCCGAAGTTCTACGAGAAACATGGGTTCAGCTCTGCACCTTTGAGGCCCTCGGCTTCCTTCTCCTCCAACGTAGTGTGTTTCAAAATAGGAAACCAACTCTCAGGGCAAATCATCGTCATCTGTTAGCCCAATAAAGCCATCAGTAACGTCGCTAACTGGGAGAAATGCTAGTGCATTTCAACCAGCCAAAACCAAACTGTCAAACCAAAGTGTCAATCAGTTATTTTATTTTTCACAGCAAAGGTGTCTACGGCAAGAGGCTTGTGGCAAAAACACCGGACATGGGCTTAAACAACAGAAATTTATTTTCTCAGTTTGGGAGGCTGGAAGTCCAAGATAAAGGTGCCTGCAAGGTCAGGTTCTGGTGAGAGCTCTCTTCCTTTCTTGCCGATGGTCCCCTCTGCACCGTGTCTTCACAAGGACTTTCCTCAGTGCGTGCATGTGTGTGTGTGTGGGAGAGGGAGAGAGGGAGAGAGGGAGAGAGGGAGAGAGGGAGAGAGGGAGAGAGGGAGAGAGGGAGAGAGGGAGGGAGGGGGGGGGGGGGGGAGGGAGAGAGAGAGAGAGAGAGAGAGAGAGAGAGAGAGAGAGAGAGAGAGATCTCTTCTTTCCCTTCGTCTTACAAGGCCACCAGTCTTACTGGATCAGGACCCCAGGCTTACAACAGCCTCGTTCAACCTTAATTACCCCTAAGAGCCCGAACTCCAGAGTCCACAGCATTCCACCCCTGCTGCCCCCGCTCAAATTCATGGCAAGCTCCCATGCAAAATACACTCCTCCCATCCCAACAGTCCCCAAAGTCTTATTACTTCATACCAGCATCAACACTCTCATCTAAAGCCCAAAGTCTCACGTAAATATCATCTAAATCAGATGTGGGTGAAACTCAAGGTACAATTCACACTGAGGCAAAATTCCTTTCCGGATGTGAACCAGTGAAAGCAGACATGTTATGTGCATCCAAAACACAGCTGTGGGACAGGCACAGGGGAGGGATTCCTGCTCCAAAAGGGAGGAGAAAAAGGAAAGAAAGGGCGATGGGTCCTACGCAAGTCCAAAACCTCGTAAGGGGAATTCCATTAGACCTTAAGGCTCAAGAATAATCCCCTTTGGTTCAATACTCTGTGTCGCCTCCGTGGTACTCTGGGCTGGGGTTCAAGGCTCTGGGCTGAGGCCGTCTTGCCTGTTGAAACCGCGGCAGTGGCCCTGCTGACCTCTGAATTGCCGCTGGGGTCATTCTCCCTCTTGAAGAACAGAGTACGTTCCTACAAACAGCTCTCTCATCCCATCCCGGCAAATCCAAGATGTCCAACAGCCTGCCTTCACCTCGTCCTGTGTGGAAAGGCTGAGAATTTTCCAAATCTTCAAGTTCTGGTTCCTTTGTACTTAACAATTCCTTCTTCAATTCGTCCTCCCCTTTCTCGTTTTATTCTAAGCAGTCCCGACGAACCAAGCCACTCCTTCCAAACCACTCAGAAATCTCCTGGGGTAAATGTCCAGTTTCACTGGCTTGCAAGTTTTATCTTCCACAAAACACCAGAACACACTTCAGCCACGTTCCCTGCCGCTTTATAACAAGAGTCACTTTCCTCCAGTTTCCAATAACATGCTCCTCACTCTGCCCGAGACGTCACCAGAGATCGCCCTAACTTCCATATTTCCAAGGTGTCCCTCAGAACTCCTCCAGCCTCTACCCAGGACCCAGCGCCAAAGCTGCTTCCACATCTTCGGGTATCTGTTCCAGCAGCACCCCACTTCTCAGTACTACAGTCTGTATTAGTCAGGGTTCTCCACACACGTACAGGAAAAGGGAGCGAGAGGAGGGGAACTGGCTTGTGTGGTAATGTTGGCTGAGAAGTCCCAAGGTCGGGGGCCAGCACGGCCGTGTCCTTGGCTTGCAGACCCACACCTTCTCACTCTGTGCTCCCGTGGCCTCTCCTTGGTGTGTGCACATGTGGGGGGGGTTAGTGCGCGCGCACACGAGAGAGAGACAGAGAGAGAGAGACAGAGAGAGACAGAGAGAGAGCACATGCGCGAGAGAGCGCATGAGAGAGCGAGAGCGCGAGAAAGAGCAAGAGAGCACGCAAGATAGAGAGCACGTGAGAGAGACAGACAGAGAGAGACGGAGAGAGAGAGAGAGAGGGAGGGGGAGGGGGAGAGGGAGAGGGGGGAGGGGAGAGAGAGGGGGGGAGAGGGGGGAGGGGAGAGAGAGCGCTCTCCCTCCTCATTTTCTTAGAACGCTATCAATCCTATCGGATTAGGAGCCCACCGTTATGACAGCGTTAATTACCTCCTAAAAGCCCTGTCTCCAAAATACAGTAACCCTGGGTTAGGGCTTGAACATGTGAATTTGGGGCACACAATTCAGTCCATCGCAAGCTCTAAGGATTCCTTTTGAGAATCCTTTGACAACTGGTGGATTTCTGCTAAAAAAATTATTGGGATTCATGTTATCTATTATAAAAACATACAGTGGTAATTTTGAGGAACATCTGTTAAGTTGCTTGGAGAACATCTACAACAGTGGATCACAAACTTTAGAACATAACAATCACCTGCACACCCATTAATCTGCAGAGTTCTACGCTTCCCTCCAGACCTGCTGAGTTAACCTAAGGGGCAAAAGCCCAGGAATCTCTATTTAAGTAAGTATTCCAGGTGACTTACAGGGAGGCGGCCCATGGACCACACGTGAGAAACAACGATGTGCAGGTTTGGAAGAGTTAATCCGCTTCTCACGATGAGCAATTCCTGGCTTCTCCTGGTCAGGGAGCTTTTCCTCCTCTGCACCCGTTTACGTTCACCATTCAGCTGGTAATTAGTCATATTCTGCCTGTGATACATCTTCTATTTTTGTCTCAAGGTATTTAAATCTTGACTTTTTAAATGAACTTTTCGAATGTTGTCTTGCCGTCCAAAAGGAATTATAAACTCCTTGAAAGCAGAGACACCCTGGCGTTGCTTCACAGCTGCAGGAGATTCAAGGACCGTGTACAAAGTAGGCACCAAACACACCTTATTGAATCACTTTGCTTTACAACTTTTAACTTCTTTTAACTACAAAAATAAAACATCTCGTCCCCCCACCCCCCGGCTTCTGTCCTGTTCTTCAGCAGGGAATCCATGCACCCGGGGAACAGAGGCAAGCTCTGACTCAAGTTCCCCTCAAGATGTCACCTGAGCATAGGCTCTATGAAGTCACGTGCCCGGGAGGAACCTGGGAGGCAAGAGCGCCCGTGAGAAGCCGGGACGCGTGTGCCACTCAGCCCTTCTTCACACGTCCCCTCGTCGGCCACGCTCATCGTCAACAGCTCTCTTCTTTCCCATCCCCTGAAACGCATTTTCCTTCCAAGTTCACGTCCACTGCTCGCCTGTTCTCCTCACTTTGCCTTCCTGCCTCCACCTGCCTCCTCACCAGCCTCCACTCCTTCTACTTGCTCTCCCTGCTCCTGAAGACAAAACTGACTAAGGTAAGTACAGCTGTACTGCTTTCAATTTTATACAGTAACACTGTAGCAGAATGTTGCCACAGATGCTGAGTGAATAAAGAAAAGCAGACAGAGGTGGATTGACTATATAAAACACTAGAAGGGCAAGGAGGCTGAGAAAGCCCACTGCACTGTGACAGGAGGATGACTCTGGTCGTCCCACGACCTGTGGCTTTGGGGACATAACGAGGGGCAGAGCCCAGCTTAATGGGCAAGAGCATGAATGGGAGACGGGAAGTGGAGAGAATAAAGATGAACTAATGGAAACAAACCCAATTCAGCTCGTGTCGTTTCAAGGTCAGGTGCGTGCCAGGCCCTGGGGGTACCACGATGACTCAGTTCCCTCCCCACAGGTCCCCGGGATTCGGGGGCCAGACGGAGCCCTGGCGTGACAACCACCGCGGGCCCTGAGGGACACGGTGACGGGCAAGACTCCACAGGGAGGCGGCAGCACCTTCGGGCCAGCAGGTCCTGCTGGCGGGGACACGCAGGCCATGCCAGTCACCAGGTGGGGGCCCCGGGCTAGCACACACGGTACCAACAAAAAGATCACGGTTCCTTCCCTCGAGGCTCCCAGAGAGAAGTACGCAGAGAGCACCTGGACACACCACCGAGTCATGAAGACCAGTCTAGGAGGGTTTCTGGAAGGCAGGGGTGGTTCACCATGCCAAAATCTCTATGGGTGAACAAGCAGTTTTCCTTGGAGGTCGGCTACAAAGCAGTTAACGGTGGATTAGAGAGGAGCAGAAGCAAGGTGCTAGCGGGAGGCTGGGGGGCAGGCTGAAGGTCTGACAACTCCAGTTCTATCGTTCCCTCTGGGGGGCGGAGACAGCACCTCACTACTACTTTCCGATGGCCTCCACCAGCACACGAAGGTCCTCAGTGAACACCTGATGAGTAACCGACAGAGGAAGTCGCCATTCCCAGAAGGCCTATGCCAGCTTGCCCCGACTGGAGCCCGCGCTGCCTCTACAGACCCGGCCACACTGAAGCCGTACAAAACGCTGTTAAAAACCCATCAGAAAGTACATTAAGAGAGTCATTAACTTTAACGGGATTTTGGAAACGGAGCAGCTTCAGGGATGCTCCTCGCCAGCCCAGACAGGCTCACGTTTCATCCACAGGCTCCCCCTCCGCACAGTTCGCCAGGAAGGCTATTCCACAACCACACCCGACAGGGCTTCAGTGCCTCCGGGGGAGGGGGCCCCACCTGATCTGCCATCTGTCCGCGGGTCCATGATGACGAACTCGGGCCGCAACTTGCTGATGCGCCTCCCCTTAAGGATGGGCACGAGCCCGCCCAGGTGCTCCAGGTAGAGCGTGTAGCAGGGGCCGCCCACCTCGGGGTCGTCCTCTGTGCGCTTCATGGTGCAGTGCAGACGCTCGCTGCCGGTCGACGGGTAGCTGACGAAGTCTCGCATGTTGCTGGGGTCTGGAATTGGGGGCTGGAGGCAGGACACAGAAGGAAGCAAGTGTGGGCACCACTGATACTCTGCACTGGCTGCAGCTCAGGAAGGGTTAACTATGTGCCGTGAAACAGGGACTCGCAGCGCTGGGTGTGTGTCAGAATGCCAGCGGTTAGGACTCGGCGCTTTCACTGCTGGGGCCCGGGTTCAACCCCTGGTCAGGGAACCGAGATCCCACAAGCCGCACGGTATGACCAAAGAATAAAAAAAGAATCTCCTGGGGGCTTTTAAAAAATACCTAAGCCAGGATCCCACCTCAGACAATGAAACTGGAATCTCCAGGGGATAAGCCTGGGCATGTGCATTTTCTAAAAACTCCCCCAGGTGATTCCAACGTGCAGCCAGGGTGGAGAATCACTATTGCAAAACCAAGATTGTAAACCAACTAGAAAAAAAACATCATAACAGGTTCTAAAACTCTGACGTTTTAGAAAAAAAGTAACCAACAAGCCAATCTGATACTTAGAAGCAAAGATAAAAAACAAAAAAAGAGAATACAGAAAAGAACCTAAGGTGCAGAGGGCCAGAGGCTAAGGAGGAAACCCACCCTTGAACAGCAACTGGCAGCTATGTTCCACACACTCCCACTGAGAACAGACTAGCTGGGTTACAACCCGTATAAAGGACAGCTGACAGTGAGTGCTGGCAGCGGTCAGCTTCCTCAGCACAGTAGTGAGGAAGGCAGGCCCTAGGACTGAACTGGGCTCAACCCCGACCATTTTCGTAACTATCGATGGAGCGAGTTACCTGACTTCTAGGAACACGTTTCCCGCTGTCTCACGTGGGAACAATGGCAGCATCTGCCCGCAAGTCAGGACTGAACGGACGGACTGACTGTCGGGAGGCTACAGCAGTCAGGCTCGGAATACTGCCTTTACCACAAGAAAGCTCACGTCCATCACACAAGGCGAGTCCCCCATGGACACTAACACTAGGGACAGACAGCACACAGGGAGGACCACGGCAGAACTCTGGGGAGCCGCACCACTTCTGTGGTCCTGCTCTGGGCCTCTCGCCCATCTCCCTGACTCCGCCCTCCTCCCGGCGGTCCTTCCGGGGCAGGCAGGCAGCCAGCAGGGTGAAGAAGGAGCAGGGGGAAGGCTTTACCTTGATGGTGGGGATGAAGGCAGTGGAGAGGTAGGAGCAAAGGCGGGGGGGCAGGGTCAGCTTGCTGACGTCCTTGTCCTCTCGCAGGGCGCTGGCAATGGCCTGCTGGCACAGCAGCTGCAGGCTGGACACCCGGTGCTCCACACGCACCACGTACAGGGCCGGTCCTGACGCCATCAGCAGCCGAGAGTCCCGGTGTCCCCAGCAGATGGAGATGATGGGGCGCTGCCGGGAAGGGAAGGGAGACTGTGTGTAAGCTTCTGCTCTTGTGAAAAGCAAAGAAAGATCACGCTCTCTGTGTCGAGCAAAATAAAATGATCTAACAGATTTTTAGAACGTTGGTTTTAAAAAGCACAGTCGAGGATGTTAAATCCTACATTATAAAAAGTCGGCATTTTCAGGCTTTCCCTGGTGGTGCAGTGGTTAAGAATCCACCTGCCAATGCAGGGCACACGGGTTTGAGCCCTGATCCGGGAAGATTCCACATGCCGTGGAGCAACTAAGCCCGTGCGCCACAACTACTGAGCCCGCGCACCCAGAGCCCGTGCTCCGCAACAAGAGAAGCCACCGCAATGAGAAGCCCGCGCACCGCAACAAAGAGCAGCCCCCGCTCGCCGCAACTAGAGAAAGCCCGCGCACAGCAACGAAGATCCAACGCAGCCAAAAATAAAATTAATTAATTAAGGAAAAAAAAAGTCGGTATTTTCATTGAAAAGTAGTTAGATCCCCAGGCCAGAGCACAAAGCACCGGAATGGTGTTACCAAGTTCTTTTACATGTATTATCTCATTTAATTTGGTGACATAAAACCTAACCTAGCTCCATATAATGACATCTCTGCCAGGAGATGCAAACAGCCTGCGGTACACAGTAACCCGTATTCCTTACTGAGGCTCTGGCTACCTGGATCCTCAAGTAACAGGGGTAGTTTCCAAGGCTTGGAGAGGTAGACCAGATGGCCCTTCCCTTTTGTCCCTATAAGGAACATTTCAGAGTCAGATCAACATTGGATTTGAGTCACAAGCTCATGACCCAGGGAATAATACAAGTCTCGTACTTTCTCATGAGTCAAAAGGGGGCTGTGAGGATTAAAAGAGATGAAAGAAATCAGAGTGCTTCTGGGACTCATCACAGGTGATAACCCACAGATACTCAATCACTGTTATTCTCAGCCATCCTTGAGCCGATGGGGCAGGAAAGGGGAGAGAGAGGGACACAGTTCCTGTGGCAGCTGGTCTAGGGGTTTGTGGCCATTATTGGCTTTGAAGAGGCAGGCTGGAATCCAAATATGCAAGTTAGAAACTGGCTGCACTGGGAAAAAGAATCCGAAGCTCAGGGGCGCCATCTAGGAAAGGTCAGCCCAGGAAGAGGCGGAGGGTCGCGACGGAGAAGCAGCGAGAGGATTCGCTCACTCTGGTCCAGACAGGTGGAGTTCCAATTTAATGAAGTCAAGATCAGAAGTGGGGATACCAGATCTTTTATAGGAAACAGGAAGAGAAGTTTCACAACACTTTAGTGACAGGCATCAAGATAAAAGAAACACATGAAGACACTTGCTTAAAATAGCCTCCAGGGTCAGCTAATCCTGGCTTCGAATTCAAAACAAAAATGCAAGACTGAAGATAACTTCATTTCCATCATGGCGAGGCCGCGCAGCCGCAGGGTAGGACCACAGCCGCAGTCCCCTGGAGGAGGGTCACAGGGCCTGGAGCTCAGTCTGGGGGCTTCAGAGTACTTCCAAGAAGGGCCTCCTTATAAAAGGATCCCTCACAGAGGGTAGACCCCCACAGAGGAAACTGTTAGGTTAGAGCAAGACATAATCACTGCCGAAGACACGGCAGACGACACATAAAAAATATACGAAGACAGTTTCTTCAGTATGACCGACCCTCCGTAAGCGCAGTTTAGGACAAAGCTCTATTGGTAGCATAATCATGCTTGATCTTAAAGCTGCAAACCGCCCTGCCAACCCCCAAGTCTCCGAAGATAATACTTACAACCTACAGCTCAAATCATGAAGAACCGCTTCCAATTAGCACAATCTGACTCGGTTGGAACTGGCTGCAAAAATACCAGACACTTCTTTCTTCCAATTTTCCATGAGTTTTGAATCCATCTACCTGATGTCCCAGTGGTCACAATGCAAGAACACATATATTCATCCTCTCTTCCCCTCCCTCCTCCTGGTTTGCTTTTCATAGTAATTACCTCTGTGTTAACAGCTGATTACATGTTTTGGGAGGGTCTTCTATAAGATTATCGTTATGATAAGTATGCTATAGCTTTGTAAAAAGGAATTTAAACCACTTTATAGACTTTCAAGTCTATAAACAGATAAAAATCCTATCTGTTATAATTACAGGTATAATCACTACCCATCTTAACAAAAATTAACAATCAGGTCGTAAAAACTAACTACATTCCAGTTGCACATTAAGGTATCTTAATGAGCACCCGTATTATCTCATTTAATCCTCTCAACTCTGCCACACAGGCATCATTATTCCCAGTTAACATATGTGGAAACTGAGACTAAGAGAGCTCCGTAACTCACAGCTGATCAGCAGGAGAGCACATTCTCACCCATCCCCCAACCCCGCTGCTTATGCTCATCTTACTACAACGTGTTGCCTCTCTGTCAACCACAAATACAGTCACGAACCCCAATTCTCCCCACAGTTCTCCCCTTAATCCGCTTGGTCAAGGCTATTTTACTCAGAAACAGACCCAACAACGGATGTGTAGAAAAGGCAACAGATAAGAGGAGAAACGAGCTGCATAAACCACGAGGGAACAATGACCAGAATAACTCATTGTGGCAGAAAAGAGCCCCCTGGTCACATGGGCCCACGCTCGGCGGTAACCCAGCCACGCGGCGCTGCCGGGTGAGCGCGAAGCAGCAGAAGGTGGAGGAAGGGCCGTGCCCTCCACACCCGGCATCGCGAAATGAGGAAAACTGAGAATTCTCAGCAAGGAGGAGTGCAAGGACTGAAAACTAGACCCGGGAAAAAAGAATTGGAATAATTTGGCCTGGAGAAGTGATGCCTGCAGGGTCTCAAAGGACCTGTTATCTGGAGCCTGGTGACCAGGAAACCCCCTTTTCTAAGAGCAGGACAAGACCACTACCACTAGGAATTTATAGTACAGTACAGTACAGTACAGCATTCACTTACTTGCCCAAGTCAGTGATGATTTATTTATTTCAGCAAAGGGGGAAATCACACTCATTGAATTTATTTTTACAGCATATGCCCCACGTAAGATAATAAAGTGGCAAAATAAATACTGGTGCCTTTGCCATAATACATCTTAAAGCTGTATTAGAAAAGTAAGGAAAAATTTACAACTAGTGAAAGCTGATACTCCTGTCTGAAGATGCTGAGGTATCACTGACATGGGGAAATTGACTGTCATAGTTACCATTGAGTCTGAGGCCAGTAAGTAGGGCCATGACCTCTCAGGATCCCTATAAGTCCTGTAAGCCCGTAGGAAGTCCTACTACCTGGGGTCCACGCACAGCATGGTGAGTACAGTTAACAATACTGTACAAATACCTAGAAGTTACTAAGAGAGAAGACCTTATATGTTCTCACCACAGAAAAGAAATGGTAATTATGTGACATGAGGGAGCTGAGAGCTAACTTCACGGCAGTAATCATACTGCCATACATACGTATAGCAAATCCAGACGTCGTAGACCTCAAACTTACAAAGTGTCCATATCAAATACATCTTAATAAAACTGGAAATAAATACATAAGAAAATTAACACACACAACAAAATCCCTTTATACCTTGCTTATACTCTTACAGTTGTTTACATGTCATCTTACTTTTTACAAGTCTCATTTCCTGCCGGTGCTCATCTTCCTGTGCTGTTTACTGGCGCTCCAGCCTGCAAAGCCCTCAGTACAAGCGTGCCGTTTTCTCAGAAAGGACAGGAATCAAGGCGGTGGTAAACACACGTGCCCGCAGACACAGGGTAGGGGCGTCCTGATTCAGTGGCCCCGGCCCCTGGGACCCGCCGCTGCAGGTAGAACAGGAATCCCCTGCTGACTGCCCCCGGTAGAGCGCGCCCAAGCTCATCTTCCCCAGGCACATCCCACCCACAGGATTAGCTGCAGCGGAAGAGAACGGTGGCAAACATTCTCTTCCAGCGAACCTGGGAACACGCGAGGGTGCACACAGACGTGACTCCCGCAGATGAATGTTTTTGTTTTTGAACAGCTGCCGTCTGCTAGGGAGAAACTCAGCTGTAAATGTGTGGACTTCATCGCTTTCTCAAATTGCACAAAATGACTATTTTTAGAACCGATGTCTAGAACTTAATTTGTGTAGGTATTCGGCACGTAAATCTAAGGCAAAAGGGCAAGACGACGAGCTGCATTTCGGGGAGTATCCGTGTGGCGGGAACCTGGTGCTTTGGTGAGTCTGCTGGCCTGATGCCAGGTGTCCCTGGGCCGGAGAGGTACGAGAGGAGCGGCCAATGGACAGTCAGGCTGTCCCTCTCTCTGTGTCAGACGCCAGCTACTTACGAGGAAAGCAGGTTAGTCTGCTCACCCTACTTCCGCTGCCACAGCATCATGGAAGGTTAACGGCCTGTTTCAACCCCTTATGGCACGTGAAGAGACGCTAAATACCTCGCGACCTCATCTCCTGCTGCTACACGATCCGTGCCATGCATCCGTCCAATCACGTACTCGCCTCCTGAGCTGTCAATCGGTCAGTCAGTAAATCCCTGTCAAATGTGTGCAGTGGGCCAGACACATGCTGGGCGTTTGGGGATTGACATGGAATAAAAGAAGCTCCCTGCCTTCACGGAGCTGACGCTCTGAGGGGGGACAGGGAGAGAGAAGTGCCTCAGGCTCTGTGACAGGGACGGACTACCCGATGGTGTCAGATAGTGAAGAATGCTACGCGGTAACAACGGTAGGATAAGGGGCTAGAGGCAGAGCAACGGGATCGTTTCAGACAGGGGAGCAGAGAAAGCTTCCGTGCAGGAAGTTTCAGCAGAGCCTGAGATGAGTGAATTGGTGACGCTTGTGGCCGGACCTGAAAGCCTGCTCACCACACCACCGTTTCTGTGTGCAGCAGTGCGCTGCGCGGAGTCCTCGAAAAATTTAAAAGGGAATAAAAAGCGGGGTGTCCTTTCCATGTTAAAGATAAGCTTTTGAAGCAGGATTAGAGTCAAGAGACAACAAAAGGGTCAAACCAGCTACACTGGCCCAAGAGAGAGAAAAAGAGGCCATCCAGGTACGCAGCTGCTGGCTGATGGAGCCCCGGGACGAGGAGTGAGAACCCGGGAATGTCAGAGGCGTCTCCTGTCTCCCAATCGCTTTCCCTCCTTTCTGAGCTCCCCTAGGAAGAAGGTGGGGATCTCTGTCTTAGAGGAAATGCACTTCAAATGTTTCACAGCCCCTGGTAGAAGCGGGTGTTTAATGTTTGTACAGGCGAGTACACAGGAGGAAAGCCTTCCAGCAAAGTTCACTTTTAAATAGACCAAGGTGGTGACTGTTCACCGTAAAACTGTGTTGGCTGGAGCCATGGACAATTTTGAATATTAAGTTACAATGATCTGGCCACCAACTAAGCTGCAGTAATAAAAGCTAGCTCAGGATTCAGTCGCCCAAATCTCCGTTTTGAAATAACATGCCGTTCTTGTATTTTATAAGCAGACAGCCCAGAAGGGACTTTCTCAGCTACTTACAGCAAACAATGGGAAAAACACACCTGTAGCAGCTTTGAGAGAACAGGTACAATTAATTCTCCATTAAAAAAAGGCAAAAATAGTTTTGCTAAAGAATTCTCCTTCAAGAGCCTGGGGGTCTATGACCGTAAATGCGCTCCGTCACTTGATTTTTCGGTTCCCACACCTACCATCTTCCTCTTTTAATTTTTTACCCAAATATCTTACATCAACACCTGAACCTTACAGAATATAAGGCAACTCCACCAACTTGCCTTTATTGCAAAAAAAGTTCATAAAGCTAAAACACACACACAAACCAACCAACCCACCCAAAAAACCCAACCATCCAACCAAATAAAAAACACACAGACCTGAATTACCGAAGCCTGTGAACTTCAGTCAGTGGTGCTAACTCTCAAAGTCTGTGGTCAAAGGATCAGATATGCAATTACATGTAGATGGTTACAGACAGCACCTAGTGTGATCAACTCTAGACTTTTAAATTATGCCAGGAAGGAAAAGAAAATAAATTACAGTGTATTTCCTTCTGGGAGCTTCAGCCACAGGCATTGCTGTTGTGAGTAACTCAGGAGAATCAGTTTTAAAATGAGGCTGCCGCAAGTTTGTGCTGGGCAACGGCTTTGTACGCGATAACCTACAATCTCATTAACTTGGAAATAAGTTACCCGATCTAAACTGCATTTAGTTCTTTTTATAAACAGCCCAATAAATTGCCTAACTTCCTTCCTGCTATAAAAACGTTCCTGCCTTTGGACAACTTGAATGGCACAGTACAGACATGTGATTCTAGAATCATTACAGACGACAGTTAAGTTGGTGCTACATATAGTCAGTACTGTACTTGGTTTTTAATAGCATCGTTATTTAACTTTATATTATTGAGGCGATTTTTCCAACGGCTGAAACAGACCCTCAAATGAAAAAAGAGTCAACAATTTATTAAAATGCTGAGACACTGTGTGAATAGCTTTCTCCAAAGGAAGGTGAGCCAAGCCCCTCTCTTATCCCTGAGCCTCAAATGGTTTAAATTCAGGACCTATGTTAATTTCATGGGATAGTTGATGAGAACTTTTGCAATGGTTAAGGCCGTCAAGCTGCTACTACGTTCTAAGCACAGTGAAGGTCACAAAAATGAACAAACCGTGGCCTTTGACTTTAAGAAAATAAGGCAAATATACAGAAAAGTGTAACACATGCCAGAGGTATTAAGCAATGCCCTGGCAGTAAGGTAACAATTACTGTGTGAACAAGGTAATCTCTCCTTCAATCCCAAATCCATAGGGACTCCAATATCTACCTTTATTTTGCCACACACCTTGGCCTCATGCTAACGGCCTCAACTCTGCTCCACTTGAGCTCTTCCTGGGTTCGCCTCATCACCTAGAACTACTTCACTTCTAAAATAGGAATCTGCATTTCCTACCCAAGCACAGCTTCCCATCCTGTGTTTATCACTTCTTCCTGAACATGCCTTATTACGACTTTATATTACTTGCCAGTCTCAGGTCATAGAGCAGATGCTACCCACCAAGGTTCCCTGGCTGCCCATTTCTATACCATCCTTCGCAGTTCCCTGAATTCCTTCCAGTTTTGGTCTCTCTGCTACATGAATCTCTCCAGTTCCTCATTTCAGGCAGCCTGTACCACTTCTGCCTCTCGGGGTTGCAGAGGCGGCCTGGGCAACGTTGACTCTCACTTTAAAACCACGCTGTCCTGCTCTGGCCGGGGCTTGATTTCAGCTTGTTACCTTGAAGGGCTCCTGCATCGCGTTCTATGCACTAGCACTCAGAGCTCTGAGCTCAGGGCCAGCTGCGTAGGAGCCCCTCAAAATATGTTTGCTGGGTGCTTGAACAAACGAACAAACAAATACGCTTATCTGCCCACAGAACATATTACACTGTCAAAAGATACATTTAAATCCTATGACAACTCAGCAACAAGAAAAACTAGCAATCCAATTAGGAAATGGGCAAGGGTCTTGAACTGACATTTTTCCAAGGAAGATATACAAACGGCCAACAAGTACAGGAAAAGATGCTCAACATAGCTAATCCTCAGGGATGTACAAATCAAAAGCACCACGAGGTAACACCTCATGCCCATCTGGACGGCTATCATCAAAAAACCAGAAAATAACAAGTGCTGGCGAGGGCGTGGAGAAGCTGGAATCTTTGTGCACTGCTGGGGCGAACGTAAGATGGTGCAGCCACCATGAAACAGTATGGCAGCTCTTCAAAAAGTCAGACACAGAATTACCATATAGCCTAGCAATTCGACTTCTGGGCATTTATCCAAAAGAACTGAAAGCAGCAACTCAAAGAGATATTTGTATATCCCTGTTCACAGCAGCATTATTCGTAACAGCCAAAAGCTGGAAGGAAACCAAACGTCCACTGATGGATGAATGGATAAACAAGACGGAGTGCACACATACAATGGCATATTATTCAGCCTTAAAAAGGAATGAAATTCTGACACAGGCTACGATGTGGATGAACCTCGAGGACATTCTGCTAAGTGAAGTAAGCCAGACACAAAAAGACACACACTGTATGGTTCCACTTATATGAGGTACGTAGAACAGTCAAATTCATAGAAACAAGAAGGTATAGATAGTTTCGGTTTTGCAAAGATGAAAAAATTCTGGAGATTGGTTACAAAATAATGTAGTACACTTAAAAATGGTTAAGACAGTAAATTTTATGTTATGTGTATTTTACTACAATTAAAAAAAAGATACATTTAAATAATTAATGCCTGCACCTAATTACAAATTTCCCCAAATCTGGTATACCTGTCTCTCTGATGAGCTGGGTAAGGTTAGGACATAAGTCCCTAGTTTACTGTCACCCCCATCAACCATCAACTCGCTCTCAGACTCCACTCCACGCCACTCCACTGTAGTGGAATTCTGCCTCCACCATAACTGATCCAGACCAGAAATGAGGCGGTCTAAAGCTTTCTGGGAGATAAAAACAAATAGAAAGGGGCCCACATGTGCACACTTTCTTAAACACCTTTAAGCTTTTTTACTTACTGTTTAACAATAATTTAGTTTAGCTGTAAAAGTACATTACGGGCATAACAAACAAAATCAGAGTAAATAAATGGAAATTCAGCATTTACTTCTCTGCGAGTTTCTGATTTTTACTTCAGAATGATGATAAACACCAGCTCGCTCTGCTTACTCACTGTGCACTCGTCTGGGAATGGAAATGGGTGTATTTTGGTTAACAGGCAAAAACTTCTCTTTCCCTTACTTCTTCTGGTCTATACCCCATAATTTAATTCAGGTCAACAAAAGATTAAAATCTGTCAAAGATAATCACAGTGAGTAGAATCAGCTCACGAGCATTTAACGGAGGGTGGGTGCAAACTAACACATCAGAGGCACGGCCGGGTGTCCGGCACACATCCTTACTTGCACAAGCGTGTCCAGTGTAAAGATGTGCTCCCCGCGAACATTGTAGAACTTGACCATGGCACTCTTCAGAAGAGGGCCATTGGGAAGGTCACCGAGCTGGGTCGGGCGCTCCATGCCAGCGACTGCCAGGAGGTCTCCCTGCGTGCACCACTGGGCCACCACCTCTGAAATCAGAAAGAGGAAAACGGTCAGCATGAGGGTGGGACCCTTGCTTCCCTGCAAAGATGCTCTGGCTCGGTCAGAGTCTGAATTCATGACTGAATTATTTTTCCTTGAAAGATAACAGAGTGTGCACCCCAAGATATGCCACATTGGCATGAGAATTATGTAGAGCTGAAGGCGATGGAGAAGAAGCAGATAGAAGAAAAGCTCTCTCCCTTCCCCCTACTTGCCTAAAAGCAGGACATAAATCTGTGAAGGTGTCTACCCATCCCCCACCAGGAAGGACAGAAATGAACCACTGGTGACAACGCTAGACCATTATCAACACCAGGGGAATCTGCATAACAAACTTTACTAACTGGCCCTTATCTTCCGTTAGCTCCCCCATATAATTACCTGCCCACAATGTGCTGTCCTAGAAACTTCAAGTCTTCTTGTCACTTCTCCAAAAAATGTATTGTTCTTTTGTTAACATGTTATCTAAACCCTTTGAGCTACTCATCTCTGTGCTTCCACAGGTAAACACAGTGCAGGTGTTGTTAAGCTTCTGTGTGTTTTTCTCTGGTCAATCAGTTTTTTGTCAGTCTAACTTACAGGGCCTGGTCTGAGAGCCTAAGATGGGTAGAGGGGAAATAGCCTTTTTCCCCCCTCCCCGCTACGTCCTCAAGAAAGAGGAAAGTCACAATAAAGGGTAAAAACCCCAAATGAGGTGAAGCAGTTTACAGTTCACTGTGTGATAAACAGAATTCCCCGAAGCTGGGATACTCAGCAGATTTTTCTTCAAGGCAGAACTTGCTCAGCAAACGTCAGCAAGGCAAAGTCCCCCCAACCCCACGAGTCTGCAGTGAAAATGGAGTGGGCAGGGGTGGGAAGGAGGGCTGGCCGTGGAGACCACGAGGGGTCCAGCACTGTAAGCTCTTGTGCACATGACACAGATTACAGTGTTGGTGACAAGCTGGGGAATACCAGGAGTCACCTTTCTTCGCTGGAAAAGTTCTCTGATGATGTTTCTTTGAGACAGTAGAAAAGAAATACTAGACCCTTTTGCTCTACAGATCTTCCTTGGCTTACAACAGGGTTACATCTGGATAAACCCATTGTAAGTTGGAAATGCATTTAATACACCTAACCTTCCGAACACCACAGCTTAGCCTCACCCACCTTAAACATGCTCAGAACACCTACATTAGCCTACAGTTGGGCAAAATCATCTAACACAAAGCCTATTTTATAATAAAGTGTTGAATAGCTCACGTAATTCACTGAATACTGTACCGAAAATGAAAAACAAAGTGTCCGGGTACAGAGTGGTTTTAAATGTATCGGGTTTTGACCCTCGTGATCGCGGGGCTGCCTGGGAGCTCCGCTCGCTGCCGCTGCCCAGCATCACGAGAGAGGATGGGACTGCAAGTCACTAGCCTGGGAAAAGATCCAAATTCAAAATTCAAAATACGGTTTCTACCAAAGGCATATCGCTTTTGCACCGTCATAAAGTTGAAAAACCCCAGGTTGAACCACGGTAAGTCAGGGACCGTCTGCACCTTGCGAGTCAAACGACCGACCTGTCCGTGATGGGACAGGTGACCGCGGAGGGAAGAAGCTGCGGTGAGCCATCTCTGACGGCACCTGGCGACCTGCTCCCAGTATTTACTAACATATCCCATAAAGCGGTGGACAAAAATAAATAAACTTTCCAAAAACGACTGCTGTCCAGGCCACACGTGAGACTGAAATACTCTGAAACCAAGACGGAAGGGAGGAGCTGCCCGCACGCAGCACCTACTGGATGACAGCGATTTACTGAAACATCACCTAACCTTCTGGAACTGGGAAGACAGTGCAAAAGCATCTCGTGTCATGAGGCCATAAGTGATTGAAACCATTTTGAGATTAGACTGAGATTTCTAGTTAGGTCATCAAAAGAATGCTAAATTTGCCTGTATTTTTAGGATAAAACTCAAGTCAAGAACTTTCACATTTGGGAGGGGTACTTTGGGTCGCCTCCCCAAGTCACCTCACCTTCATGTTCCCAATCCTCTCATGCCCATTGTGGGAATGTGTTAGAAGGGCTGCTCCAATATAATTTAGTTTGATAGAGAACAAAAGAATACATCCAAGGAATAAAAAATAAAGTTTCCATAGGTAGTTTCCAAGATGGTGAAAAATTTGAAAAACTCACCCGACAAAGAATACAAAGGAACTGAGTGGTAATTATGATATTTTCGGTCAGACACTTGGTAGAGAACGAAGTTCAGGACGGCAGAACTAGAGGCAGGTACTGATGCAATTAATAAACTTGGTTAAAAGGTTTAAAAACAGAATTTTAGAACAAAAGTAGAGCTTGGATCACTAAATATATGAGAGAATTTATGATGACTACCTTTTTGTTTTAGCTCCATGAAAGACAGAAAATTCAGAAAAGAATTTACAGAAAAGTCCAAGGAATTTAAGTTCATCATCATCGTAAAAAGAAACTTACTCAGCTCCTAACGGGTCCATTTGTGATAATAAAGAAGGACGTCTACATGTCCCTCTGGAATTTATAGGCTAAATAATTCCTTACAATTATAGTTTTGAAACAGCAAATGGGACACTTAAAAGAGGGAGTTTAACTTGTTTCCAAGAATATCCAATAGTTCTGAAACAGAATTAAGTGCTTGTGGGGTGTGCAGGCAGGTACGATGCATTCCCGCCAATCAACAGTTAAGTATGTGGACTTGATTCTCCATATCCCTGGCATTCCTGAACAATTCAGACAAGAAGCAACATGGCCAGGACTCTGGTCTGATGGCCAGTCTCGAAGGACAGCAGCTGAACTGAAGGTTCCGGTTTGCCTCCCCACCGCCGGGCCCCGCAATGGCTCCCATTCAGATTATAGCAGGTCCCTTAACCTCGAGGACCAGAAGTAGCCCTGGAATTTCTACACTGCACCATTCAACCCTGAAGAGACAGAACTGTTTTTCCAAAGAACTCCTCAGAGGCACAACCTCGACGGTATTCCTGAATTGCAAAATTCAGAACACTGCGAATGCTTACAGGTGCCTGTCTTGCCTTGAGACAGCATTTCATTAATGTCCCTCAGGAAGGCATCAGCCCCTGACTGCTGACCTTCACACCGAGGCCTCGGCTGTCCTGTGTGTCACCTGCTGCCGCAGGCACGGCAGGTGCTGCCGCCCAACACCTGCAGTGCTGGCTGCAGGCAAGCGGCCCACACCCGAGAGGATCGCTCCTGCCGTGGGGGGAGAAGGGCAGGTGAAGACGAAGGGGACTGTCCGGAATCCCTCCTCAAGGTGAGACTAGATAGGAATCGACTTGTCAGCTAAGCAGAGGAGTGAACAGACTCCATTAAGCCTGGAAGAGGCCACTGCAGAGGCCGGGGGTCAACAGGCCTGGCCGTGACGCCCAGCTCGGAAGGCCGGCCGCTCGGGCTGATCCGTACCTTTCAGCCCCGACTGGATGACAGTAGGAGACAAGTCGTCATAGTTGTTCATCAAGCTGATGTCTCCTGAGGTGAAGCTGACGGTGAGCAGCGGCTTGATGCTCTGTACTGGGATGGGATACGCCGCCGGACCATCTGCGGGGACAGAAGCGCCGAGTGAAAACGAGGCAACAAGCACGTGACCGGAATCCAGGCCCGCGTGCTGCAATCCTGCGGAGGGCCTTGAAACTGCCCAACAGTGCAGACCAGACTCTAGGCTGGGACGTTACCAAGTAAGGCAATGCTGCACAGCACTCAGGAACTACACGGAGCCCCCTGGAATGAGAGGCGCTGGGGGCCGAAGCCCCGAGGGCACCGAGCAAGGGCTCCCTGGGCTCTGTACGCCGTGCTGAGAGCGTGCGTGCAGAGTTTATTAACCCCTGTGGTCACGGGTTTACATGGTTCTGATGATGTGCAAACGTCAATTATTTTAATGTCACGTAACGTATAAGGATGGTGCGAAGAGGGATGAAAACATTTTCTTAATCCTGGTCCAATGTACAGAGAAAAGCTGCCTTTCAACACTGAACACACTTTCACTGAACATTATAGGAAGTGAGCAGCCACCACGAGCTCTCTGCTTTTACCAGGAGAGACCCCACACCTGGAGAGAAGGCCAAGGTCGGATGTGGCTCACACCCAGCGCACGGCCAGCAGAAGGGAACCCTGCCTCGTGCGTGCGAGGAGACTGTGCATGAAGGCAGGAGCCGTGAGGGACGATGCTCTGTACTCTCCCACCCAGGGCGGGCCAGCCTGATCTCTGCTCGCTCACCATGCTCAGCCCCCCCTGCGGAGGATCCCCAGCTATGACTCTCCTTTGCTTCACTTTTAAGATGCTGCAGGTACCTACCTCTGTGCTCAAATTCCCTAGGCCACCAAGAAACACCCTGCTCTATCTGAATGGTAAATCCCAGTCATCCTCCAAACTGGCCTCTGCTCCTGAAGAGGGCAACAGGTTAGCGTAGTAGCCCGGAACCGCGTCCTGCTCCGAGACTTACTCTGGACTTGCTTGAGCAACTTGGTCTCTGGATCTTGTTTCTTCCCCTAATAAATGTGGGTAAGCAAATATGCATTCAACCTAGCAAAGTTCTGTTTTAAAAGGATGCCGAGCCCAAGGCTGAAAGACACTGGCTTCATCGCCACGAGGTGGAGGAGGGATCAGCACTTCGCTCAAGGCTGGGGCCCCACGAGGTGATGGATTTCCAGGAGCGAACGCTCTCCCTCCCGACACCCACCAATCCTGAAACACTACCGCCAATCTACACTTTTTTCACAGGGTCTGAAACAATCTTTCATTACCCGTCTGAACACTACCTTCTCCCTAACTGCACGAATGGCGATGTATATGTGTACGTCTCTGGGAAGCATGACACTTTATCACGTCTGGGACAAGAGGGAGAAGACTCCAAGTACCAGTGAGGGCAGATGCTGATGGGGGAGAAAGTTAAAAATACTCTCCCTGGACCAGCCCTTCACAGGCTGAACATGCCCACAGTCACAGGGAAGGGTAGACACTGTCCAGCGTGTGCCTTTAGCCCATTAAGGGCACTCAGCCAGCAGTGTGAGCACAGCTGCCCGGAAGTCCCGCAGCAGGTGACCACGGGGAGTCTTTTCCTTCCACTATTCGTAACATATTCTCCTTTTAAAAAAAGAGGTTGGAGCAGGGGATGGGACACTGGGGAAGAGCCAGAGCCCTGAGTGGGCCAGTGCTGAGGGCTGACATTGGTGATGGCCAGCGTCGACACCAAAGGCTTCTGCTTTGGGGGCTAAGACACACTGCAAGGGGTGAAGGAAGCTGGAACCTGAAATTATCCCCACCAAGGGTCTGAAACAATCTTTCATTACTGGTCCAAATGTTAAAAAACTCCGACATCATCTACTCTAATCTAACGTCACTGTGAGGCTTGGGGGCGGGGGGTGAGGGCGGCAGGTTCACCTGAACTGAGGAAGCCCAGACCTTCTGCCTGAAATAAAAAAGACAGGGGCATGGATACCAGCCCAGTGTACTGGCCTTCACTACGGGCAGAGCTAATCCTTTCCCCACACAACCAAAGCTACGGGCTTCAATAACGTTAGGGATTTGAAACACCACAGATTAGGGTATAGGAATAATGGCACAGCATTTCTCATCTCCAGCTCTCTACTCTCACTAAGCAGCTAAGTCCCACGACACCCCAGGGACGTGGAAACGGCCATAAGTCTTGCTTTATATCTAGGAAAACCTAAGCCAATGGAGCTTCCTCAACCTGACCAGTGATTCTGCAAAAAGGGATGGCAGAGAGAAGACGGTCCAACCAAGAACAGAGATTAGGCCAGTTCTGCCTTGCACTTCCATTGAGAACCCTGCCCAGTAGGCTAGGGAGCCGTGCGCACGGCGGGCCTGTCCCTTCCCCTGCGGATGGGTTCATTCTCCTTCCACACTCTTGTCCCCACGGAGCCGGCGAGCTACCTTGGGGCGGGGAGTAGTCATCGGAGTCGGTGTCACTCTCGCTGCTGTCCTCCACTAGGAAGGCGGGGTAGTTCCAAGACATGCTGAGGATGCCGTCTGACTCATGCAGGAGGACGTGGGCCAGCATCCTGCCATGGCAGTCCATGACGATCACCTGCCCGTCAGCCGTGCCAAACAGCACCTGCAACCAAGGACCAGGACTCGTGATGGACGGGGAGAAAGGTCTGTGGTTTCTGGCAAACCTCACCACCTTGACTTGTCCACCAGGACTAAAGAAAGAGACCAGGTAAGCAACTGAGGAAATATACAAAGCAGGAAGTGGCGGAAACTTAGCTGGCTATTACTGGAAGAATTTTAGTCCTCTATTAGTGAAACGTGACTAATGCTATAATAAATATATTCATTATGTTATGTGGACGTTTTCAAACACCAGCAAAATCACTGTTTCACCTTCTGTGGGTTGTTTTTCTTTGTTTTGCTTTTTTGGTTGAAGGAGGAGGGCTAAGAAGAGGATAATATTCTCTTATTTTTCTTAAAAAAAAAAAAAGCAGCAGCAGAGGTTCATTGTTAAAAATCTCTTAAGGAAAAACTTTAAGTGTATGTAAGCATGTTTGTCTCATGTTCTGTTTCACTGAGACTAATAATGGTGTTGATGTATTTAAGTAATAATGTTATAATGAATTCATGATATTAATACATTCATTAAGTGCTTACTTTGGGCTAAGCACTATTCTAACCAGTTTACCTCACTAACTGTCAAAACAATCCTGGGAGGCAAGCGCCAGCGCTGCCGGCACGGAGCTGAGACAGGCCTGACGCCTTGTGTGCTGAGGGCCGCTCCGAGGGCCCCCCCCCAGTCACCGGCCCGCAGGCAGACACACGGCCAGGGCTTAAGCACAAGCACGCAGAGGGAGACTGGGCGGCGGCGGACGCCCTCCATCGGAGCGGGAGAGGAGCTGCTCGTGGCTGCTCAAAGCCCCCCCGACGGGCGTCATCCCACTTGGACGACCCTGAGGGGACCCTTGGGGCCTGGGAAGCAGGACCTCCCTGAGGAGTACACCGTGTTATCTCCTGCTTTGTGTGCTAGGCTCTGCGGTTTCTGCGTCTGCCGGCATTGAAATCTTTGTATCTTTTGTGTCTAATGACATCTGTCTATCCACCGACAACTCATTGGGAGAACCATACCAGGATCTACACAAAGGGAAAGTTATTTAAGACTTTTAGGTCCATACTACTTTTTGCTTTTTAGATTTTGACACTGAGCTCCTTGAGGGCCAAGACCGTCCACAGCTGTACCCCTGGCACCTAACAGAGCTTTGGGTACGGTAGGCACTCAATAAGTATTTACGGTTACATGAGTGAATTAAAGTCAGTGACAATCAATAGGCAATTATCCTGATGATTACGAGAGATTAATTGCAAGGGAAGATGTATTCCATTTCAGCAGTAATATGCTCACAGAATTTAGAGCTGTTTTAGATAAACCAATTGTCCATCAAATATTCCTTTACGGCTTCCCTGGTGGCGCAGTGGTTGAGAGTCTGCCTGCCGATGCAGGGGACGCAGGTTCGTGCCCCGGTCCGGGAAGATCCCACATGCCGCGGAGCGGCTGGGCCCGTGAGCCATGGCCGCTGAGCCTGCGTGTCCGGAGCCTGTGCTCCGCAACGGAAGAGGCCACAAAAGTGAGAGGCCCACGTACCACAAAAAAAAAAAAAAAAAAAAAACCTTTAAACATGATCTACATTTTTAATGATTGTAAACTTAAAAAAAAAAGAAGCTAAAGCAGTTTTCCCCCAAGGCCAGTGATGAATCATCATCGAACACTGCTTAAAGGAAAAAACAGATAAGACGTAATAGGAACACAGTAAAAATCATTTTAGAAAAAGCTGAATTCTTGGCTGCCAACAGAGAAAATAAACAGTATCCACCAGCATGTCCACAAAGACCTCATGTGACACGGGCAGAGAGAGGCAGACACTGGAGCGGTGGGTCAGAGCCACTGAAGCCCTGGCAGAAGCAGACACTGAATATGCTTCCTGAGCAGTTTGCAGAGAAGATAAATATGGAGCGTGACCTCCTGTAACTTCAACTGAAATGTACAATTTACATATTTCAGAAGAAAAAGACGTGTGGGAACCCCACTGTAAGGCAGCATCCCAGGAAGCAGGCTTTTCTTCTCCCCTTTCCACATCCTCACCCATTTGTTCAAGCATGTCTGAAGGGCAGCCCTGTACCATGGTGTACGTGAAGGGGTTATTTCATCACCTGTGACTTTGTTTCTCCTAAACGTAGCTCATCAGCAGGCAAGAGCAAACAATCACTCTTCTCAAGTACCCAGGATTAAAACGTATCAACCCCAAACAAGTTCCCAGACCCCTCCTGTTATGGCTCCCACAGTCTCCACTGGCACAATCACCACTATTCTCATATCTGACTGTGGGATTATTTGACTTGTCTGACTCCCATGCTAGACTGCAAGCTTCTGAGGACATGGACTATGTCTGCTCTGATCGCTGCAATCTCCTCAGGGCCTGTCATATCCGATGACACATGGCAGGGTTTGTGAAGGGAAGGAGGAAATGAAGCATCTTTTGAGTAACACTCACATTTTTCCATTTTGGAGAAGAACAGACACCATCTAATTCCTGAATAAAGGCCTGGTGGCTTAATGAGTTTTCAATGTTCAACATCACAGTAAAGCAAAAGAGGACAAAAAAAACCCAGCTGCCAAATCCCCCGTCATTAATCGCCTCCGACTACATCTCTCTGGAGAGATGATGCACTGTTAGGATCACAGAGAAGGAAAAAGGCAACCCTAGCAGTCGGGTTGTCAAGCAGTGATGGAGGAAGTTACTCTGTTTTGGAACAAGTGTGTCAGATAACTGAAGAACACTGATATGACATAAAATCAGATTTTCAAAAATCTCCTCTATTACAAGTTCTTTTCATGCCTAATCATTTCCAATGAGATAAAGCTTCTATGAGCCAAGGACTTCAAGAGAACAAGACAGAAAAGTCTAGTAATAATAAATACACACACTGGCAAATGCATCCGTCCCTGCAGCTTCCACTCCTTAATTCTGGTGCTCTGGACAGAATGGTGCCGGCTCCTTTTTCCCAGGCTCTGTCTCCTCTTTTAGGCTTGGCCCCAGACCTCCTTCCCTTTCTAGGAGGTCAGAGTCACATCCACAGCCTCAAGGACCCCATTCAGGGCTGGCTTCCTGCCCAGGCCATTCCCCTAAGCTCCAGACTCACAGGTCCAACTGCCTGCCAGCCACCTACCCCTGGATGTGTCGAAGGCCAGGCCCTTCAGAATCAACATGTCCCAGATGAGATTCATAATCTCACCCATCCCCTGACCCCCACACACAGCAGGTCCTTTGCCAGCAAAGACTGTGGCTTTATCTCCAGTGTCCAGTACGGTGTCTGATACGTTACAGGTGCTCAGACGAGGCTTTTGGGGCCCCCTACACAGAATTAACCTCACTCTAACCATGGCTCCCACAACACTGTTTTTGCATGTCTGTCTTTCCCATTAAACCATGAGGTTCTTGAGGGCAGGTCTGCACCCCTAGGTTCTCCCATGCTGCCTGGCATGAGCGGATGCCCAGTGACTATTAGCAAGCAAATTTCTGCCCAAAGCTTTGGCCTTTGCCCAAATTTTCCTACAAATGAAGCAACAACTTCTTTCCTCTCTTCTTTAAACTAAACCAGTGCTCAAATCCTCCCATAAAATTGGCCTCCAAAACACTTTCAGTTGTGGATGACATAAATTTCTGTCTCATATTTTTCCTGCTGTTTTCTCTACTGGCCTGCAGGCTTCACAGAGGGGCAGGGACAATGCTCCCTCTGTAACGGGTGCACTAAGAACCAAAGAAGGTGGTCGAAACCTGCTAGGCCTCAGGCCACACCAGTTCAACGGTGGTCCCTCAGGGACGGGGGACACTATTGCAGGGCAGTGTTCAGTATCAATGCAATGTTTAAGAAATTGTGGTATCCACATATAATCTCTCCATTTAAATGTACTCCATTCTAAACTAGTTTTAGATGTAATTATTTTAAAATGTAACACAATTATCACCAGCAATTAAAATCGAACCAAGCCACAGACCAAAGGAGGTAGGAAGAGGACAGCAAATCATTCAAAAGCTTTATGTTTTGGAACCAGTGATGACATATATCACCAGTGATTTTTCCTTTGGAGACTGGTACGCATCTAAATTCTCGAATAAAGACCATATTAGGAGATTTCAACTATAAAAATATGTGCTTCTGTAACTGTTCACCTTTTTTGTAGTAGACTTTAACCAGCAGCATTGGAACCAGCTACAAAAGGAATTGACTTTGCCCCATTTATTTGCTTTTGTGACTTAAAGCTGGGGGAGAGGATAACAAAGTGATTACAAATTCCTACTACAGGTAGGCCTTATTTTATTATACTTTGCAGATACTGTGTTTTTTTTTTTTATAAATTAAAGGTCTGTGGCCACCCTGTGCCAAGCAAGTGCCAGTTTCCCAGCAGGATTCGCTCACTCTGTGTATCTGTGTCATATTTTGGTAATTCTCACAACATTTCAAACTTTTTCATTATTATATTTTTTAGAGTGATCTGTGATCAGTGACCTTTGAGGTTACTACTGTAATTATTTTGGGGCATCACAAACCATGTCCATATAAGATGGCGAACTTAACTGATTATGTAAATGGCAACAAAGGATCTAGAATATGACAAACTTACTTGATAAAGCAGGGTTTGAGAGAACTGACTCTGATTTTGAAAGAAGTTCTACTGTGCATAGAATGCTATCAAACAGCACTGCATGCTACAGAGACATGGTTCATGAAAGGAAGAGTCAACTGATGGGGCAGACATCACTGCTGTCTCACTTTAAGAACTACCACAGGCACCCCAGCCTTAGCAGCCACCAGCCTGACCAGCCAGCAGCCACCAACACGGAGACAAGGCCCTCCACCAGCCAAAAGGTTACGACTCACTCAGATGATGGTTAGCGTTTTTTAGCAATAAAGTCTTTTTTAGGGCTTCCCTGGTGGCGCAGTGGTTGAGAATCTGCCTGCCAATGCAGGGGACACGGGTTCGAGCCCTGGTCTGGGAAGATCTCACATGCCGCGGAGCAACTGGGCCCGTGAGCCACAACTACTGAGACTGCGCATCTGGAGCCTGTGCTCCGCAACGAGAGGCCATGACAGTGAGAGGCCCGCACACCTCAATGAAGAGTGGCCCCCGCTCGCTGCAACTAGAGAAAGCCCTCGCACAGAAACGAAGACACAACACAGTCAAAAATAAAAATTAATTTTTTTTTAAAAAAGTCTTTTTTTAATTAGGGTATGTTCATTGTTCTTTTAGACATAACGCTGTTGCACACTTAACAGACCACGGTACAGTGTAAACATAACTTTTATATGCACTGGGAAACCTAAAAATTTGTGTGACTCACTTTACTGCAGTGGTCTGGAACCAAGCCCACACATCCCTGAGATACGCCTGCAGTAACTTCAGCTCCGTTGGTGGCAAATGTCTAAATGCACTACCGTGGAGGGAGGAGTGAAGGGACAGGCCGTGACGTCCCTTTGCTCTTTAGAAGGAACCTTCTGTCCTGAGATGCCACCACAGTAAAACTTTTGTTTTGAAAAGACCTCCCTGTTGGGTTTCAGAACACTAGCTTGTCAATGTGCTTCAAGGCTAGATTTGAGTATTTTGCAACTAAGGAAATAGTCATTGAAATCAGACAGTTGTAAAGGACAGAATTGCTCAGTTGATTAACAGAGTATTTCCTGGTTCAAAAAAAAAGATGAAATATAATTTCACAATTGACTATAACATGCATTTCTAAAATGGACATTTTAAGACTTATTCTGATAAATATGGGAAAGAAATCTCACCCAAAATATAGAATAAAAATTTGTACCTTTGGTCCAAACATGTAATTTTGAAGTCATTTCATCTCCTCACTGCAGAATAACTGCTTATAAACTAACCCATAAAGATGAGAGACTATGCTAAGTTCAAAGATTTTCAGAGAAGGAGATATTCTATCTGCCTCAGGTACTGAATTTAATGTTAGATAATTCCCATTGCTAGAATGTTCTTCCCCAAATCTTTCAGGCTCCATTTTAAAGTTTGTTCACCCTTTTAAGACACCTACACATGATTTCTGGGGGTGGGGTGGGGAACAGAATGACTAGAGGACTAATTTAAAAACAGGATACCTCCAGAAGGATACACAGGTAACTGGAAACACCAATTACCTCTGGGGAACAGAAGTGGGTGGCTTGAGGATAGTGGGGAAAATGGAACTTTTCATCATATATCCTTTTGAACATTTAGAATTATATACCATGTGAATATACTATTAAAATATATTTACTACACAGGGAATGAGGTAGAGAGAAAAGTTTCAGGAGCACAGCTCCATATCAGATCTCTGGAGCGGGGTGAAAACACCCAGGCCACTTACCACGTGGTCCTTGGATTGGGAAAGAGGTGCTAGGTGACGCTGAAGTCTGCTTAACCTGTTTGGTAAAGACAGTCTTAAATCTTCTGGGGAAACATCCTTTTCTTTGCAAAGAACTCAGAACTGGGAGTTGGCTGGCTAGGGGTCTGGTTCTATTTTGACTCCTAAATACTTATGTAACTTCGAATTGATCATTTACCTTCCTGAGTATTTGTTCTCTTCTGTCATCTAAAAAAGGTATATTAGATGAGCTCTCAAATCCTTTCCTGTTTCAAAATGCTCCAAATCTTTGAAACATATCTAAATATATTTCTCAGTATACAGAAACAGTAATTTCCTCCTGTGGCTACTAATAAACTTCAACAAAAGGGCTCAGAGGAAACGATTTCCTGGTCTGAGGACAGTGACGGTCTTCTGACTCAATGGTAGCTGTCAGGGTACACGGTGATGAGGGCAGACCCAACAGCACCTGTGACTGGTGTCAAAGATCAGTGAAGCCGGACACTAGTCAAGGAGGTAAGGACAGATTTTTACCCAGTAATCACTACTGCAATAAGGAGGTGAACCCAACTTCCACTAGTGCAGACACGACTGCGCATTTTAAAGGGAGAATGAGAGAGCAGCGAGGGAGGCGGGGGCTAGGGCAGAGCCAGGGAAGTGGAAATTTTGCCAAAAGTGGGAGGTGGGGACTGTCAGTGTCATTAGGCCATCTGGGTTTTGCTAGTTAAGGTCCAGAGACTGGGAGACAGGGGCCCTAGTTTCAGGTGCTGTAATTCTTCCGGCAGCCTCGAGCTTTCCCAGGCAAGAACATCGGAAGGCTGGAGTTGTCATCTTTAGCTACACAGCCTTGCGTGGACAGAAACTATGCTAGTGTTTGTTCAAGACAGAGAGAGAGAGAGAGAATGAAACATTTGTGATGCGAATCTAGTTTGACAGGCCAAGGCTGAGGCCCAGTCAAGAAGAGCGGGGCCTGCCTAGAATTTAGTCAGGAGAGTGTCTGTCACTCTTAGAGACACACATCACCTCCCTCTAAAATGACACCAGGATGTATTCAATGCCAATGGTAGGGCTGTCAGAGCAGCAAGGCATTCGAGGTTTAGGAATGCCAAAGGGAACCCTGGGAAGCTCAATCCTGTAGTGCAGCCATCCGGACAAAGACCGTCATTCCTGCAAGGGCTCTGCGTCAGAACCAAGGCCGCTGCCATGCTGTGGTATTAATATAAGCATATGAAGAAAATATAACACTAAACTGACAAGAAATTGACTTTAAAATAACTTAGACTACCAATTTAAAAAAATACATATATTTTTTAAAAAATTGTGGTAAGAATACTTAATACGAGATCTACACTCATAAATTTTTAAGTGTACAATACAGTTTTAAGTGTACAATATCGTTCACTATAGGCAAAACGCTGTGCAAAAGATCTCTAGAACTTGTTAATCTCGCATAACTGAAACTTTATAGCAACTGAACTTCAATTCCCTGTTCTCCCCTCCCTCCAGCCCTGGGCAACCACAATTTTACTCTCTGCTTCTATATGTTTGATTATTTTAGATATCTCATATACATGAGATCATGAAGTATTTGGACCTTAGTGACTGGATCATTTCACTTCGCATAATGTCCTCAAGGTTTTTTATTATATTATTTAGCCTTCCTTTTTTTTTTTTTTTCGGCGGTACGCGGGCCTCTCACTGTTGTGGAGCACAGGCTCTGGACACGCAGGCTCAGCGGCCATGGCTCACGGGCCCAGGCGCTCCGCGGCATGTGGGATCCTCCCGGACCGGGGCACAAACCCGCGTCCCCTGCATCGGCAGGCGGACTCTCAACCACTGCGCCACCAGGGAAGCCCCTAGCCTTCCTTTTTAAGACAGTATTTCACTGTATGTGTATATTTCATTGTAAGAATATATGACATTTTCTTTATCTTTTCATTCACTGATGGACATTTAGGTTGTTTCCACATCTTGGCTATGGTGAATAATGCTGCAATGAACATGGCTGTGCAAATACCTCTTTAAGACCCTGTTTTCAATTCTTTTGAATACACAGCCACAAGCGGGATTGCTGGGTCATATGGTAGTTCTATTTTTAATTTTTTGAGGAACTTCCGTATCTGCAACGTTTTACATTCTCACTACAGTGTACAAGGGTTCCAGTTCCTCCACATCCTTGCCAGCACTTTTTTTTCTTTGTTTAAGTAACAGCCATCCTGACAGGTATAAGGTGTATCGGACAGTGGTTCTGATTTGTATTTCCTGATGATTAGTCATGTTGAGCATCTTTCATATACTTGTTGGTCAATGTAAGGATTCTTTGGAGAGATGTCTATTCAAGTCCTCTGCTCATTTTTTATTCTGGCTTTTCCCTTTGTTTTTCTATACTTTATTAATTTTTCATTATTTTTAATTTTTTTTGCTATTGAGTGGAAGGAGTTCTTTATATATTTTGGATACTAACTACTTATCACATATGTGGTTTGCAAATATTTTCTCCCATTCCACAGGTCGCCTTTTCACTCTGTTAATTGTTTTCTATGCTGTGCAGAAACTTCCTAGTTTGATATAGCCCTACTTCGCTAATTTTGCTTTTGCGGCCTATGCTTTTGGTGTCATATCCAAGAAATCATTGCCAAGATCAATGTCATGCAGTGTCCCCTATGTTTTCTTCTAGGAGTTTTACGGTGTCAGATCTTGCGTTTAAATCTTTAATCCGTTTTTTAGTTGATTTTTGTATATGGTATAAGGGTCCAATTTTATCCTTTTGCATATGGATATCCAGTTTCCTAGAACCATGTATTGAAGAGACTACCCTTTCTTCATTGTATATTCTTGGCACCCTTGCTGAAGATCAGTTGACTACATATGGGTTAAATTTCTGTTCCACTGGTCTCTATGCCATTGGTGTTTATGCCAGTACCGCAGCGTTATATTTGGTATAGCATTGTAGTGTACTTTGAAATCAGGAAGTGTGATTCCTTCAGCTTTGTTCTTTTCCACAACATTGTTTTGGTTAGTCTAGGACCTTTGTGGTTTCATCTGAATTTTAGAATTTTCTCCCTATCTCTGTATAAAATGCCATTGGGATTTTGATAAGGATTGCACTGAATCTGTAAATAGATTTGAGCAGTATGGACACTTTAACCATAGTAAGTCTTCCCATCCATGAACACGGGATGTCTTTCCATTTATTGGTGTCTTCTTTAATTTCTTTCCTCAATGTTTGATAGTTTTCAGTGTACAAGTCTTTCACCTCCTTAATCTAGTTTATTCCTAAGTATTTTATTCCGTTGGATGCAATTGTAAATGGGATTGTTTTCTTCATTTCCTTTTCAGAGAGTTCATTGCTAGTATATAAAAATGCAACTGATTTCTGTACACTGATTTTTGGATCCTGCCATTTTACTGAATTCATTTATTCTAACAGTTTTTTTGTGTATGTGTAGTCTTTAGGGTTTTCTACATATAAAACTATGTCATGATTTCTATTTGAATGTCTTTTCTTTGTCTTTCTTGCCTAACTGCCCTAAGACTTCTAGTATTTTGTCAAATAAAAGTAAAGAGAGCAGGTATCATCTTGTTCCTGATCGCAGAGCAAAAGCTTTGTTTTTCACCACTGCGTATGATATTAGCTGTGGAATTTTCATGTATGGTCTTCGTTATGTGGAATTAATTTCCTTCTATTCCTCGTTTAGAGTTTTCTTATCCTGAAATGGTGCTGGATTTTGTCAAATGCTCTTTTTCTGCATCTATTGAGAACACGGTTCTTATCCTATATTCCGTTAATGTGGTGTATCACATTAATTGACTTATAATGTTGAACATCCTTGCATCCCAGGGGTAAATCCCACTTGACTGTTGTGTAAGATCATTTTAATGTGCTGTTTAATTCAGTTTGCTAATATTCTGTGGAGAATTTTTGCATCTATGTTCATCAGGGATATTTATCTGTAATTTTC